AACTGTAACAGCATAATCAATAAAAAAAAATTTAAAAAAAAGAACATAGTTGAATTTTAGAATTTCATCCATCAACTGGATAAAATGGACTTCTATGGACCACTTCATCCAATGGCAGCAGAAAATACACTCTTCTCAAATGCATATGAAACATTCACCTAGATAGAGCACACTCTTCACCATAAAACACACTGTCATATATTTAAAAGGACAGAAATCCTACAATGCTTGCTCCAAGAGCACTGAAACAAAAATCGGTAACAAAAACAGCTAGAAAATCCCCAAATACTTACTCATGGGTCAGAGAAGAAATCTCAAATTGCAAGAAAAAATTTAAAATACTTTGAACTAAATTAAAAGGAAAAACAAGTTCTTGAACGTTGTAGGATGCAGCAAAAGTGTTTTACCCATAAACATACACACACAATCAGAGACTTTTAAAAAGCAAGCAGTTTGTACCAAGAAGTGAATGTATTCCCAAATTACTTCAGAGAGCCCACTGGTGGCAGTTATTTTTCACTCTCCTGATTAGAATCAGGCAGTATAAGCATCAACAACCTCCGGAGCCCCGCGCGGTCCCTCAGCACCGCGCAGTGCTCTGTAGCACAGAGGTAGAACCTCTCCTCTCCTCTCCAATTCAGACAGTTCACGGAATTGGGTGTTCTGAAGGACAAATGTCATCTTCTCCATCTGGATGACGTTAAGCACTGGATCTCCCTGGCCCTGAATTATTCATTACTCACAGCTTTATCACACTAATAAGACCCACCTCAGAGGGCTGTTGGAAGGCTCCAGTGTTAAAACGCGTGTCTGTCCTCAGCACACAGTAAGTGCTAGGCCCTTTCTGTATTTATCATCTCCCATATAACACATCATGTGTACCACTTTCTTTTTTCAACTTTATTTTAATTGTTGTTCAAGTACAGTTTTCTGTCTTTTACTCCCAGCCCAGCCCACCCACCCAGCCCTCCCCACCTCCCTCCCATTTCCACGCCCCCTAGTTTTTGTCCATGCATCTTTTACAGTTGTTCCTGTAAACCCTGCCCCTTTCCCCCTGAAATTCCCTCCCCTCTCCTCTGGTCACTATCAGCCTGTTCTCTATTCATAGATTCTGTGTTTTCAAATTCACCAGCTTGCTCATACGTGTTTATCATTCTGAAAGCGACCCTCACAGCACTTTCTCAATCACTGGTGGACAAGTGCATGCAAAAAGCATTGGAAAATTTGAGCCACTGGGTGCGCATTCCCAGCTGAGGTTGAACAAGGCAAAGTTCTGCCTTCTGTTGGGTTGGTCAAAAAAATCAAGATAGGGTTTTCTTCTGTGAAATAAGACACAATTTTCATTTCATTAATCACTTTATAGACTTGGATATTTTGAGTATGTTGGCTCCCCACATGGTATAATGTTGATTGTTCTCAATTAATGTCTTGATTTGATTACTGTCAATTTCAGCTGCTCTACCCGAACGTGGAACTTCGTCCACCAAGAAGTCTCCAGCACGAAACTTCACAAGCCACTTTGGACACATTTGATCAGTCACAGCACCTTCTCCATATACTGCACAGATCTTTCTTTGTGTTTCAGTTGCAATTTTATCTTTCTTGAGGTGATAAAGCATAATATGCCAAAATGTTGCATATTTCCTCCCATCTTCAATATTAAAATGGCTGCACAAAAATTCACAAACTTTGATGCTTATTTAAAAGCACACTGATATGACAGCTGTCACGATACAATCTAACAAAATTGTTATGAATGAAGTGAAAGACAACTAAGTGCTACTAGAGCTATTTTACAGAAAAAAAAAACAAATGAACTTTGTGGCTAACCCAATAGCTTCTGCGCTCATAAGGTAAAAAAAAGGTGTCCTCTTAGAGGTCTACCTAGTGCCATGTTTTTGCAGTGTGCTTTTGGTTGGTGGTTTTGCCATGTAAGATGGCCTAGGCACAGTGCCGAAGTGCTGTCTACTGTGGCTAAGCACAGGAAGACCGTGATGTGCCTTTTGGAGAAGTGATGTGTGTTAGATATGCTTTATTAAGACAGGAGTTGTGGTGCTGTTGGTTGTGAGTTCACTGTCAATGATGCAACAATGTATATGAAATAAGGTATCTTTGTACAAAACACACATAACACAAGCTCATGTATTGACTGGTAGATCAAAATGCTGAGGCCCGCAGGAATCTAACTCTGAACTTCTTCCAGAAGCAGGGGTTCAGTGCTCACTAGTTGAATGTTCGTGGTGACCCAATGGGGCACAGCTGCTGCAAATGACGAGCGTGGGCCCAGGTGCTGCTGCAGGACTGCCCGGGCTCTCTGCCCAGTCCGGTTTTTAAAGTGCCACACCGCACCATCACCTGCACTGCAGAGCCTCAGTAAAATCTCTCTTCACAGTGTCATGCAAACGCAAATTCAATAGGAGCTAATAGAAAGAACAATTTTACCATAGTCAACAAGAAAACTAGCTAGATCGTCTTAACATATGGGGATAAATCTTGAGCCTTCTGAATTTCATTACATTTGTTCTAATGCAAATTCTATTATTTTGAAATAAATCCCTTTCTTTCCTTCTTTTTTGTTCTTTCATATGACTGATTATCACTTTATAATGTAGACAATTCAGCTTAGTCTCCTATGATTATCTTCATTCATTCTATATTCCACCGCTTATAAAATGAATGTCATAAAATTTAGCCTCAGTTTTTCTCTCAGTAAAATGCCCCCAAAGGCATTGATAACTATAAATTGTACTCTGCAAATGGAAAAAAAAATAGATTTCTTCAACGAAAATGTGCATTATTTCCTTTTCCTCTTAAAAAACACTCTGTGAAGTAAAATTATATTTTTAATTTTGCAGCCAACTAAGTAATGAATTACATCTGTTATTTAAATAACAGGCCATTTTAAAAAATAAAAATTCATTATTTATTCTTCACTAAAGAATTCAAAGTTAGCGCTGCATAGTAATTGATTCAATAGAAACACTAGCAAACATCATTGGTCATCAGGCCACCGCACACTGGTTTGGGCAGGGAAGGGGCAGGAAAAGAGAGGACACCAATTGCTTGAAAAGTTGTAGGCCAACGGAATACTATTCAACAACAAAAAGAAATGACTCATGTACTGATCCACACTACAACACAGATGACTCTTGCACTGCACTCAGTGAAAAAAAAACAGTCACAAAAGATCACATTGATATGATTTCACTCATGTGAAGTGTCCAGAATAGGCAAATCCACAGAAAGATTAGTGATTCCCAGGGTCTGAGGGGTGTTAGAGATTGGGGGTGTGCAACACATAGGGACCATACTGAAACCGCTGAACTGTATTCTTTAAAACGGTGACTTTCGTGTTACTCAAATTATAGGTCAAAATAAGCAGTCGGCCCAGTGCTCATGTGCTGCTCGTGAAGATGGAAAATGGTGCAGCCATTTAACAGTCTGGCAATTCCTCAAGTTAAAGACTGAGTTACCATCTGACCCAGCAATTCTGCTCCTGGGTGTTTACCCAAGAGAAATGAAAACACATGTCCATGCAGAAACTGTGCATGAATGTTTATGGCAGCATTATTCAGGGGAGCCAAAACACAACGCTGGAACAACTCAAACGTTCATCCACCGGTGAATGGACAAATAAAATATTTATCCAATAGAATATTGTTTAGCCATAAAAGGAATAAAATACTAACATATGCTGCAACATGAATGAAGCTTGAAATACTTTGCTTAGTGAAAGAAGCTAGTCATAAAGGACCACATGCTGTGTGCTACAGTCTGTATGTTTGTGCTCCCCCAGAACTCACATGTTGAAAACCTAATACCCACTATGATGGTATGAAGAGGTGCGGACCTTGGGGGTGAGTAGGTCATGAGCGAAGGCTCCCTTGGGAATGGAATGTGTGCTCTTATGAAAGAGACCAGACCAAGCTCCCTTGCGCTCCCCACTGTGTAAGGCTGCCACCACCAGGAAGAGGGCTCCGGCCCTACTTTGCCAGCACCCTGCTCTCAGAAGTCCAGCCTTCAGAACTGTGAGAAACACACTGTGGTTGTGCTACTAGTTAGCTACTGGTTTGTGGTATTTTGTTACAGCAGCCTTGATGGATTATGACACTGTGCGATTTCATTTACGTGAAGTGTCCAGAGACAGAGGGACAGAGAGTTGCCTGGGCGGGGGGTGCGGAGTCGGGAGTGTGGGCTAGAGGGTGTGGGGGTGGGTGGCGATGACAATGTACTAAGAATTGATAGTGGTGACTGTTGCACAGACGTGAATATACTAACCCCCACTGAGCGGTACACATTAAGTGGATGAACTATATGGTACATGAATTATACCTCAATAAAACTTTTAGAAAAAATAAAGAATATATCTAGCCAAGAAATTTAAAAAGCACCAGGGTCTGGCCCATGTCCCAACTCTTCTCCCTCCACTCAACCCTCCCCCTTCTCCTTCTACTGCTCCCCCCCCCCCCCCCAGCCTGTTAGACCTGGTGGGAGGACTCAGAGGTTTGGGGGTCATTGGGGGAAGGGAAGTCAAACAGAGGACAGTTTAAGATGCTCTCCAAGCACGACTGTGGTCCATCCACCTTCTCCCGGGGGGGGGGGGAGGGAGGTACTTGGCCGCCTTCTAGGTGGAAAGCTACTCACACCTGGCTGGACTCCTGGATCCAATCCTCTCTTGGAGCCCTGGGCACACAGGGGCTCCAGCAACGACAGCTAAGTTCAGGGGCGCCAGTGCATGCCCGCCCTCTCACTGGGAGAAGAGGCCCCCCCCCCCCGCCTTTCACTGGGTGCACCCTCAAGGTGCAAGCCCAATCTCACCCCCTCCCAGGAGTAAACCCGTCAGCAGAGCAGGCTCCAAATGCAGGTGGGGCCGCAGGACAGGCTCCTGAACCGGTTACACCAGAAACTCCGCCAGCCAGCTGCTCTGCCCTGCTCCCCCGCCCGCCCCGGCTCCCACAGTAGACACCTCTGCGTCAAAAACGAGGGCGCCGGGCGGAGGTGGGAGGGGCCGCCAAAGAAATCCGAACCCAAGCGGGCCCTGCAATCCAGTCCCCCGCTCTCACCCCTGCAGAGGGGACCCAGAGGTTGGGATCAGGGTCCCTCTGGGTCACAGCCCCTCCTTCCGCTCAGGGCCAGGCAGTGTCCCCTACACCCGCACTGCGGGGGAGAGGGACGAGGGGCCGCTGGCCCGCACTGGGCAAAACCGGGGCGGGGACTCGGGGACCTCAGCGCGCCGCAGGGCGCGCAGACGCCGGCAGGGAGGCCACTAGTGGCCCGGGTGCGACCTTCCCGAGGCGGATCGCCAGGGTCTTCCCTGGATCGCCGGCGCTGCCCATGGCCGAGGTGCCCGTGGCCGAGGTGCCCATGGCCGAGGTGCCAGAGCCAGAGCCCGAGCCCGAGACTGCGGCGGCCCAAGCGGTGGAGATGCCGGACTGGAAGGTCCCCGAGGATGCAGGCGCCGAGGTAGGAGCCTCCCGCGGGCGCGAAGGGTGTGGGCCGCGGTGGGGGGAGGCCTTCTTCGGGAGGCTTTGGAGTGAGGCCGGGGGTCCCGCAGATTTCAGTGAAAAGTACAGTTTTAAAATGGTCTGAGCTCCATTCCTACAAAAACGGGAAAATTCCGTCGGTTAGCCATAACCCCAGGTGCCCGCCACATCTCAATTTCTTTTCTTTGCCAAGGGTGGGCGGTGGGGTAGGGTGGTGGCATCGATCTGGTCCCGGGACGCGCGGTGGACCCTCAGGGTGGGGGGGACGTAACAGAAGCTTTTTCTCAACAAGAATTGGGGGGATTCCTCGCCCCCCATCCCTACCTCACCATCAACGCCCCCCCCCATACCCCCTCCCCGGCCGCCCTGCAGCCCCACACCTGGGGCCGGGGCTGGGGAGGTCCCAGAGCCACAGGCGCGCAGGGTGGGGCGGCTCGGGCCGGGACCCCGCCCGGCACTGAGGAGCCAGAACCTGGGGCCGGACCCAAGCGGGGCGCAGCCCCTGGGCAGGACGTCCCCTGCGGACCCGCAGTCAAGGCACCCGAACTGGTGCACCTCGCGTCCTGCCTCGTTAGCAGCGCTTCCCCCGCGTTTTCTGTCCACTTCAGCCCGGGAGCTATGAGACCCGACACTACGGACCGGCCAAGTGGGTCAGCACCTGCGTGGAGTCCATGGACTGGGACTCCGCCATCCAGACCGGGTTCGCCAGGCTCAACAGCTACGTTGAAGGCAAAAACGAGAAAGGTGAAGGCGATTTACTCTGTAATTGTAGAGATCATGGTTGAGCCCCCTGACTTATTCTTGAGTTTTAGCTTATTAAAGAAATATCCTCTAGAATAGAAAAATAACCGGATCAACGAAGAGTCGGTGTTTGAAGATGCAGATTCTGCTCAGGATCCTTTGCAGGGTCCAGGGGAGGGGGGGGGGGCGGGTTCAGCCTCTGCTCCCGGACTGTGTTTCTGCTGGATGGGGGGCCTCTGTAACTAGTGTTCAGGCCTCTGTATGGCGGTGCTTCTGGATTATTCGGACACCTTTGGGGCGAGAGACACCAGGAGGCAGGTGGGCACAGAGATCACGGGATCCAGAGTCTCAAGTCCTCAGTTCTGGTTCTGGCTCTGGTGCATTTATATTCTAGAAGGTGGTTTTGCCAGTGGGATTCAGTTTCTGAGTTGTGAAAATAACGGATGGACTGGATTATGGGATTTCTGATCTTCCCTGCTATCCCTAACACTTTAGAATTTAGTAACCAGAAAAATTAAGTGTTTAATATGGGCAGTGGATAATTGAGTCATTTTGGCCTTATTTTTAAAGATGAAAATCATCTAAAAGGTAAATACGGGGTGGGGCAAAAGTAGGTTTACAGTTGTTCATATGGAAAATAATACAATAATTAATAAATGAGCCCTGGCTGGTGTGGCTCAGTGGACTGAGTGCCAACCTGTGAACCAAAGGGTCTCCGATTCGATTCCCAGTCAGGGCACATGCCTGGGTTGCAGGCCAGGTCCCCCAGTGTGGGGTGTGTAAGAGGCAACCACACATTGATGTTTCTCTCTCTCTCTTCTCCCTCCTTTCCCCTCTACCTAAAAATAAATCAATAAAATCTTTAAAAAGTAAATGATCATACAAAAATAAAGTCCATTTTGCATACTCACAACTGTAAACCTACTTTTGCCCCTCCCTGTGTTTATGCCAATAGCATAAAGTAAATCATGAAACACAGATCCTGAAATAATAGGTGGGGTTAAAAGTGGTGATCAACACCCTACATTTGCTTTCACGGTCTCCTGTGTCCTTAAAAAATATTTTTGTGGCGCAGAGATGAAAATAAAGACGACGGCCCCAGTGGTGAGCTACGTGGAGCCGGGGTCAGGCCCTTTCAGTGCGTCTACTGTTACCATTTCCCTGGGCCTGCCTGATGAGCAGCAACCTGATCCGCCCAGGCCCCTGGAGTCCGATGTCTTCATTGAAGACAGAGCCGAGATGACCGTGTTTGTACGGTAAGTGGTGGACAACTGATAGTCCCGCCAACTGCTCGCGTTTCACTGGCCTGCGCTCGGTATTTCGCTCCTATGCAATTTCAGTAGGCTTTTCACTGCTCCGTGCAAAGACATCTAATGCACTTTGCAGCATTTTCCTAATGGCTTAGTTTTGTATGTTACCAAGGGTCTGTTGGGACACAATGGATTCATTTAATGCAGTCTGTTGCATGTCTTCTACAAATCAGACACAATGCAAATTACTGGCCCCCAAAGCCTAAGACTGTTCTTACCACCATCTAGTAAGCCTGAACAGAAGCACCTTAACTTCCAACTTCTAGGTGTCATAACCTCAAACTCATCCCTTTTGTTCCCCGGCCCAAGGAATGGCTGCTGCTTCCAGAAGTTATTGCTGGTTTCTTTTTACTTTTTCAGACTTCTAATACCTGTTTCCCTGATTCCTTATATTAAATTCTCTGTAGAAACTGAAAACACACACAGTACATGATAATAATAGTCTCATACCGGGCTCCCTTTATTACTCCCTTTCTCTCCCTCCCAGTCGCCACCCACCTGTAACAGGAATCTGTCTCTGCTGCCTCACCTCCTATGCACTCCTAAACCACCACAGCCAGGCACAGCAACACCGTCTCTGTGGAATGCTCTTGTCACTGTCCACAGTACACTTGGTTTGTTACAGAACAGTCCCTTCCCAGGGGCCCCTGCGGCCTTTGTGTGTGGCCCAATCTGTCCCCTGACACCTGTCCATCCTGTGACCCTCTCATCGTTCCTCTCCTCCTCCCCAGCTCCTCCTCCCAGCAATCCCTGTTGATGCCTGTTATCTGCCCTCACGTCCTAGCAGACTGGCTCCAGGGGATCTGTTCACAATGCTTCAAATACCTGTTTCCAATGACTCTCATATTGAGTGTCTCCTACCTGACGTCCCTACTCGTTGGGCATTTCCGTGAGGGGTAGGGGTGGAGATCAAACACAACAGCTTTCCCCCATTCCCCGTTTACATGGGTGGTGATGTTATACGGCATCTGTCTCAGTGAAGGGCCTCATCAGCCTATCGGCCTCCCTGGCACAGATCTCTAGGGCCATGTCAGTACATTGTTCCCTGACAGCTGGTCTCCAGATCTCGCCCATGCCCTCAAATGATCGTAATTCTGTTCCCTTCCCTCCAACCTCAGTGTTTCTTCCTCTTATGGGGACCACACCGAAGTCATCTTTGTCTACGCAGTGATGGGCACAATACCCATGTCTATTGATCTCAGATCCTGACTGTTCCACTTCAGTAGCCTCCCAACTCCCCTCTGCCCCCCAGTCTCTTCCTCCCTCTCTTCCTGCACTGGAACTGTGCTTTCTGTATAATGGCAACAAAAATGGCAAGAAGACTATCGGCTTCTTCTTGCTTCTGGGTGAAGTTCAGGTGGCTCGTTCACATTGTACACAACACCTGCTATGATGTGGCCCAACTCTGTCTGCCCCACTGGCTGTGTTCCTCTGAACGTCCCTGCTTCATGGAGTTCGCTGAGCGGGACGCATTCTTCCACATCTCTTTGCCTCTGACACGAAGCGAGCTGCTAGACTTTCCCTGCTGAAATCTCTACATCGGGAACGTGTATGATCACAGTACCTGCCTGTTTCAGAGGGTTGCCATGATCGAATGAGTTAATGTACATAAAATACTTAGAACATGAATATGATATTTCACCCAGTTCTAGCTTCCTCTTCTCTTTCTAGAGAGCCTGCTTTCATCCTGTAGGACTTAGAATGACACCTCATCTGTGATAACGCCCTCAGTTTCTCCAATCAGGTCACCACTCTGTCCTTCTGTTGTTCTAAATTATAATGGCCTATTGACAGCCAGTAACTTCCTCAAGAATACAGCAGCACATTACTGTCCCTCCCCTTCAGCTCCAAGCACGGCAGGTGTGTGTGAGGAGACTCAGTGTGTTTGTGACTGAAGAAAGCAAGGACAGATCACTGTAGAACAACACGTGTTCACAGAACAGAAGGTGACCTCTAATTAGGGCTTCAAGATGTGATTTCAAGGAAGAAATAGAATCCATAAACACATTCTCTTTTGGCAGAACACACCAAGCTTTGGCTATTATTAAGAAAATAATAAATTGAGGAGACAAAGTATTTCTTAACATGTAGTTCACAATTGATATCAGTCAACTTGCTGAAAATTACAGAGCTAGTCCTACACTTACTCAACGACAAGACTACATGCCAAGAATGATTCTAGATGCTCGACAGACTGTGGAATACAATAGATGTGGTCTGGTCTGGACCCTTGAGAGCTTATATCTTTATCTGAAGGGTGGGACTGATCCTTCTTGATAATTAAACTTAGGCTAAAGAAGGCACACTGGGAATATTTTTGGTTCTCAGTGTTTCTTATTCTTAACCTTCAAAGTCAAATCTAGCACATTTACATGTCAGCAACTCAGCTAAGTCTGTGCCCTGTTATGATTTAATGTCAGGATATTTTAATTTCTATACTTTAAAATTTATGCTTAAATTTTTATTCTTTTCCCCCACTTTTAATTTAAATCTTTTTAAAAATAGATTTTATTTATTTATTTTTAGAGAGAGTGGAGGGGAGGGAGAAAACATCAGTTGGCTGCCTCAACCCAGGCATGTGCCCTGACCAGGGATTGAAGGAGTAACCTTTGAATTTGCAGGCTGACACCCAACCCACTGAGTACACCAGTCATGGCTGATATGAAACTACTGACTGTCTTTCTTTCCCCATCTCCAGAGCTTCCGTGTATCTCACCAAGCTCTGACCAAGTTACTTTTCTGCTCAACATTTTTTGGAGATACTTAGAGAAGAGTCCCCAAAGGTCGTAGGATGATGCTATACAACGTTCGTCCCTCTGACCCTGACCCCTCCCTGCACTCACTTTGTGCCTCACTGTGAAAATGCGTTGTGTTTTTGGAATTCTGTTCTTTTTCTTAGCCCTCCCCTTTCTCTGCCCAGCAAAACCACCCTCCATCCACACCGGACTGAGGCCACACTCCTGCTTTTGATTTAATCATACCCTGAGCATTCCTAAGCACTTCCATCCTGTCTCTGTTAAATCTCTTCTAGGGTTATAGAGAGAGCTGCCAAGATGTTTGACTCTTGCTTTAGACTGTAAATTCATAGGGTCAAAACTACATTAATTTTCATCCATAAATCAGTGCCTATCCTTTGCTCAAGGAAGGGAAAAAAGAGAAAATGTTTGATAGAAAATTGGAACCCTGGGAGGGAGGCTTTGAAGTAGGTTTCAGTGTGGTCCTCTGACCAGCAGCATTGGCGTTATTGGGAGCTTGTCAGAAATGCAGACTTTCAGGCTCCACCCCAGACTTCCTGAACCTGCGCACAAGCAGGATCCGTAGGCACATTAAAGTCTGAGAAGCACAGAGTTAGAGGACAAGATGGTGTAAATTCTAAATCTACCTGCCAACAGCTGGGCCCTTGGTGTTCTGAGGTCACACGGAGGGAGACTGGGTACCAGAGGAAGGCGGTGCTCGGCTCAGGGCTGAGCGGGTTCAGGGGCGGAGTGGGTTTGGGGGCTGAGCAGGTGGAGCTCTGAAACTGAGCTTTCTCCAGCTTCACTGTGTCAGCTCCAGCTTTTCTTTTCAGACTGACATTGGCGTTGGCACTAATATCATTCATGGCTATTTACATTCTCCTTTGTAGGTCTTTCAATGGATTTTCCAGTGCCCAAAAGAATCAAGAACAACTTTTGACGTTAGCAAGCATTTTGAGGGAAGAAGGAAAAGTTTTCGATGAAAAGGTGTACTACACTGCAGGCTACAACAGCCCTTTCAATTTGCTTGATAGAAATAATGAAGTGTGGTTGATTCAGAAAAATGAGCCATCCCAAGAAAATGAATGAGAAAATGAAGCAAAGTAGCATCCCTAGGGGCTAACCTGTTTAATACAAACAGCAGCACACCTATAAGTAAAACGTAGGCCTAGAATCTTCTCCCCGAGAGTGCTAATATGAATGGAGCTTATTTCCAATGTGCCTTTTTAATGCTTGAAGCTGTATTGAGATACACAGATAAGAGGGGACCATCTTTTGTAAACATGTACGTTGGTCATGACCTTGGTGGTCTTTGGTTCTATGAGGCTCCAGGGGAATGTCAAGTTACTGCCCCTTTTTCCTTGTATCACAATCATGTTGCCTTTTTCTACTTGGGTTTGTGTCAGTTGGGCATTGTCCCCTCCGGATGTTATCAATAAAACACTAGAGGTTTCCCCGTGTGGAACTGCTAGGCTGTCGGGCCTGGAGGGGTGGGGCCAAATGCCTTTAGCAGCCACAGTTACAGCCTGTCGAGTCCTCTTCCCCATCTGCCTGCTGCCCCCACAAAAAGAGCTCTCACGGTACCCAAAAGTGTCAATAATATTTTTTGACAAAGAATAAATTTATATAAGTAGGAAATTCCCATCCTATTTTGATATTCAGTAAAGGTGTGTTTTCCCTGAACATGTATAAAATATAAAAATACATACATTTTTATATTTTAAAAATGTATAAATAAGTGAATTTTTAAGTAATTTCATGTGGTATTTCTGGAGGTTGTATAAAAATGACTGACTAATAAAAGAGCAGGTAGCACAAAATCGAGGAGGTTGAGATTTTCATCTCTGCTGGAAAACGCTCTACCAGAGAAGACGGTCACTTTCTGATACTAGAACCCTGCCGCGGGGACGGGCATCGGCTTTGCTGTGGGCTCCGAGAGGGTGATGGTTGTAGGAGTCGCGGAGAAAAGCAGGTTGGGGCTCAGTCACTTTCCAATGCTTAGAGCTGCCCATGAAGACACTTCTTCCAGTTTCCAGCATTCTGTGGTTGAAGCGGGAGCACGTGATCTCTTAGGTGATCTGAGAATCCCATGAACGAGAAGATGGGGCCAGAGGGTGCTTATGATCCCTTCACCCCAACATCATTTAATAGCTCTTGAAATTAACCTCCCTAACCTGGACCCAATGGACTAACATTCCTATGGTTAATGGTTTCCAAAGTTAACAATTACGGATAGCCTCCCAGGTGTGCCGCCCCAAGGGCTTCACCTGAATTGCCACATTGAGCCCTCAGAACAACTCCCTGTGCCATGCTGAGTCACCTCCGTTTTACCGATGAGGACACTGGGCACAGACACGCTGGGTCACCAGCCCCAGGCGAAGTGAAGGAGAGAGGCTAATTTGAGCCCCAGCAGTCAGACTCTTTGGCCCACGCTGTTCCCCACGACAGCCCCCTGGCAAATGGCTATCCAGAGTGGGCCAGGGCGTCTGGGGCTGTTCTCGAATAGCACAGGCACATAATCAACATGATTATAACCCCAGAAGTACCTTTAGACTGTAATTTTTTATGGAAAACAAGCTAGATTTCTGGTTCTGAAATTATTATGGACATAAATTTTAAAATCCCAGGTAATTATTTCCCAAAATGATCTGCTTGCATTGACTATTCACTGATTCTTCACCTTTCGATGTTTGCCAAAGACAGTGCCTTTCTTTTCTAGCTCATTCACCACCCAGGCTGAAGTACACCCCCAGCTCTCCCGATAACTGTCCAGAGTGCCAGCCTCTCCTGGCAGGAGGTTAATATTTCCAACCTCCTGCGCCATCCTATATCAAATAGGATCTCTTATGCAATAAATCCCACTTTAAGCAAGAAAAGCATATTTCTGATTACCAAGATTTAGCTGGAATCTGAAACGCGCAATAAAAAAAATCAATTGTGTGCTAGTCAAGTGCAGGGTGTCCCTTTCCCCTCCACTCCCATAATTCACAAACTAAAACATTTTTTCGGCTCTGAATTGATCAGCCCAGAGAGTTATTTTTCATGGTAGAGATCAGTTGTTTTTAATTGTGAGGCTGGCACCAATTATAAAATATCCCTTATGTCAACGTTTCTCTTGAGATTTTCCTTCTTTAATCTATAGGATATTCATGCCTAGACTTTTTCTTAGGCTACACCTTCCACCTTCGTTGTTGGTCTAATTCTTGCCCACCCATCAGCCCCTTGCCTGTCCTCTCAAGCTCTCCCTCTCCACAGGCTTCCATCAACTCTGCCTGACCACGTCTGTAAGGCCCCAGTCGCCCCTAGACTCATCTACGGGACAGTAATGCCCCCTCTCCCTTGTGGCGGCTTTCTAGTTTCACTGGAAAGAGTTGTCTAAGGGCTTCCTTGCAGCCCTAGATGTGAGGAGACACCCAAGGACTATGACAGAGGATTCAGGTGTCCCCCACCTCTGTGCTTCCCCACAGGGGCCATCTGTGTGTCAATTTTTCATAAGATCATATGTGTCTGTCTGAAAACAATTCATTTAAACTCAGTGCATTCATATATTTCTTTCTAGTCATTACTTAACTTCCCCCAAATCTCATTTCCCCCCTTAACATTTCACTTGAAATGTCATTTAACTTTAAATTGATTCTTAAATATGTCATTAGGGAGTGCTCTCTGTGTTCCAGGAGCTGGAATGTGGTGGTCAGCAGAAGTGTCTGTCCCTCCTCAGTGACTTTGAACCCATCAAGTCCAAAGTCTTCCACTCTTCTGTTTAGTCCACCTTCCACTGAGGATATGGCAGTGAGCGGGACTGACAAGGCCCTTGTTTCCATGGTGTTTCCACCCTAGAGAGAGTTCAGATGTTGATTCAAGTGAGATGGGGCCATGGGATGGGTGTGGCTGGGTGGAGCATGGTGGAGGTCACATGCAGGGGTCGGGCAGGGCCCCAAGGAGGATTTTGAAAGGTGAGTGCTGAGAGGGAGCCAGCCAGACGAGAGCCTGGGGGACTGGAGCCAGCATCTTGGGCCGAGGTGACCATGTCAGAGGAAAAGGCCATGGTCAGCACCCAGAACAAAAACCTGCATGTACCGCTTGCTGAGCAAGAGAGAACTGTGCTGGCAGAACACTCTCTTCCTGGACAAAGAAAACTGCTGACCTAGTACAGGGTTTAGGAAGCACCGAGTTCAAGGATTAGTGGACTTTTGGAAGCACGTAGGGATAGATTTTGAGCTATAGTTGTGGAGGTTCAGTTACCAGAGTGTGGCTTCTGTGCATTAGTGTGATTTAGGAGGCTAATCATTGATTGTTTCTGGTATTTATTTGTTTTGTGGCCAGAGAATGGTCGTTTCTTTTCTGGGATTTGAAGTTGTGACAGACAAACATACGGAGGTGCACCAGTCACATCCACTTTCAAAAAATGACCCACTGACCCGCTGCAAGGGGCGGGGCTAGCTGGTGTCTCCTGCTACTACTTTTTTCAGGGTCCACAGCAGACTTCAAGATAAGAGCACACTGTTCTCAGGGGGTGCCTATGACGGAGCGAGGCAGTGAGAGCTGACAGCTGTGCTTTTCTTTCTCCTGCCATCTTCTAGCCCAAGACCGAGCAAGGCAGTGGTAGAAGGACCCAGCTATTTCAGCCCAACTCAGAACCCATCTAACAAAGGGTCTTCTCTGGAGCAGACACATTATTAGGTCCACATTGCAGATCTAGTGGGAGAAGCCCAATCCTGCTTTTCCCCTCCCTTTCAGAGGTACACCGTTGCCACATGACCTTCGTGCTTCTGAGCCCACCCCAGCATCAGACCAGAACTGGTGTGGCCGGAGATCACAGGCAGTGAGACCTCATTCTGAGCCTGGGGCACACTCACTGCCTGGCCAGGTAGGAGGCCCCCATCCCTGGTGGGTAGATGGGGCCTAGACGGCTCCTAGCACGATGAGGCCATCTAGTTATTGAAACTTTAGATGAATGGTGTACTGGTGGAGGGCAGTGCACTGCCAGCTGTGATGACAAAACAGGAACCAGATACTGAAGAGGAAAAAAAGGGAGTTCAAGTACTGTTCAAGTTCATGGCTTGGAGCCAGTTTCCAGGCAGCAAAGTGCAGACAGGGCGGTGGGGGAGCCAAACAGGGAGTGGTGGTCTTACTGAGTGAAAGAGACGGAGATCAATGTTCAGGAGGTCCAGGTGGGTAGAATTTGCTGGGCAGAGTAAAGGAGAGGAAAAAGAAACATCACAGTGCGCGTCCTGTAGATCTTCAGCGGGTCCCCTGCTGTCCTTGGCTGAGCCCAGATCCCTGAAGGTGTGAAGAGGAACCACCCAAGCCAAGAGATGAACAATTGGGAAGCAGCAGAACAAGTGATTCACGGATTACATTTGGGACTGGGAGAAGTTTTTGTTCCCACTGGCAAGGGTAGAAATAACTCATAGTGTGTGGGGTACCAGGCAGGTTCCTCTAGAGGGTGTTGCCTCCAAAGTAGTGAGGCTGGACTATCTCTAAACCAAAGGCTTCTCTGGACCTCCCCAGATAAAGGTTAAAAGTAAGTCTTGACCAAACGAATTCCGAGAAACCTGTCTGTGTACCAGAGTAGAGCCCAACACTATTTAGAGAAATATAACAAAATCCAGCAACAAACAACCTAACATTCACAATTCCCAACATTCAATAAAAAGTTACTAGAAAAAAATGTAAAGAAACAAAAATATGACCCATAAAGATGAGGAAAAACCAGTCACTACACACAGAACCAGGTGTGACAATATGAAGGAATTAGCAACTTGGACCATGAGATCTGGCAGCCCCTGTGGTACTGGAAGTGGAAGTGTCGGTGGTGGAAAAGAATGCAGTGTGCATTTTCCGACAAGACTCAGTGGGAGAACCACAATGCAGGTCTCTGAGAGCTTGATGTGAGGCTCTATTAACTGCAGGAGATTATTACATGCTTTTTGAAAAATAGCTTCAGGTACGCTATCAGGCCCTAGCAGAAATGGAGCCATGAGACACCAAGTGATGATATACCTAGAACTGTCCATCCTGGCCAGGGCCATCAAGTCATAAAGGCGGTGGGACCAGCAGCAGTCCATCCTGAGATGGAAACGACACCTCCAGTAGCAATCACAAGCAGGACCAGAGCACAAAAGCAAGCTGCGTGAGCAGGCAGCCCATGCCCCATGGCCTGGTGGTTGCATCCACACCCCATACCCACCCCCTGAGACTGTGCGGAGGACCCGTATGATCAGCTGAAGGAAGATGGAAAAGCTTGGCTTACCCGTGAGGGGGCTTATTCTGTGGGTGCAAGCTGAAACTGGACAGCATCGCCATCACACCCTCACTCAGGAAGACATGGAGAGACAGCTGCAAGCAAAAAACTTCCACCTTCCCACAAAAAGGGAGCAGAATTTTGGGTGAGGGACTGATGATTCAGTTTGTGAGGGTGGGAAGGTAAAATATACAGGGTCCGGCAGAAGTAAGGCCTGCTTGAGTGTGGTTGGTGGGGGAATAATATGGGTGTAATAATTTAGTTTTAATTTGAACATTTCACCTAAAATGTCATATGGGGTGCTAAGTGTAATATTGTTATGTTACAGAATCACACACTTGTGACTTTGTAATAAAAAGGGGCATTATTTGTGCCTGACCCCAGCATATGGAATTTCGGCACCGCCACATGGCCTGGCTGACTGGCCAGGTGTTGGGAACGAACTGAGAAGAGGCAAAGAATGGAGGATTGAGACAAGAAGGTCTTGGGTGAGAGGCCTGTGGACGGATATAGGGGAGCAGACATAGAGCCTGAAAAACCTTGTATCACGTGTTAATGTGCCCCAGAAAGCACCAACCAGCAGGAACACTAAACAACCACGTGGACAAAATGACTTCGCCAGTTGGTGTTAGCCTTTGTGGTCCCCACCCAGGGCTGGTACAGTGTGCACACAAATCTGGCGGCAGTGCGTTGTGCATGGTCCCCCCAAAACATGGACTCCCACTTGCTAAGGCCAACCTACACACTGCTAACTCCAAACGTCCAACCTACAATAGATACTAATGCTGAAACCCTGGTGAGGCTGTAAGAAGACCTAGTAGTCATTTGATACCAAATTGACTATGTTAGGTCCATTCTGTCCTGTCTTGTTGCACAAGGAGAGACATGCAGTTTTTTCTCCTGCTTACTGGGCCTTGACCAGCACCACAGTCTAGAGACAAAATCTGTGACCCGCTGGTGTGGGTTCACTGCATGTATGATCTACACATCATAACATCCAATCAGAAGGAGTTAGCTCACAGCCCTGGGATCCACTGGTCCTCTCACTTTCTGTACCACCTAGAAGCTGCTGGCCCGACAGAGCATTGAAATGACCTGCTTTAGTGCCTCCTTGGAGACAATACTGTGTCAAGATTCAGCGCCCTCTAGTGGACACAGTATACCTACTAAATCAGAGACCCTATATAGTGTTGTGTCCACAATGGGAAGGACACACGGATCTGGGAAACAAGGGGTAGAAGGAGGAGGAACTCCATTTACCATCACTCCCAGTGAACCACTAAGGGATGTAAGACCTTCCACCCCACAACTCTGGGCTCTGCAGAGCCAGTGGCCCTTGTTTTTAGAGGCATACACCCTCTAGGCCACATAGCAAAGTTCCATTGCACTTCAGCCTACTGCTGTCACTTGGGCACTTTGGTCTCCTGGTGTCCAGGGACCAGCAGGCAAGAAGATTCACCATAACATTGGGGATAATCAACCCTGAACTGAGAGAGGGGTGAGCCTGCTGTTACATGATGTGAGGAGTCAGGGGGCCCCCTTGGGGCACCCCTTACCTAACTGTAACTATAAATGGACAAGAGCTGCAACCCCAGTCTGAGAAAGGTTTGTTTTGACCTCCGGAATTTCTGAAGCCCTGGGAATGAGTTTGGTTCACACCATCAGAAAAGCCTCCAAGACCAGCAGAAGCGACAATTTAGGGTAAAAGGTAGTTAGAGTGAGGGAGGGGGATGATGAGTACCAGCTGTGGCCTGGAGCGCATCAGCAAGTGGCAGGAAGGTACCACAGATAGTCCCGCCAAACTGTTCTTTATAAATGTAATCTCAGGGACAGAGGTCCACCAGAACCCTGGAAGCGTTTACAGAGGAAGTGAATCTACATGGTAGAAGGGGTGGCCTGGGACAGGCTCTGAGATGTGCCCCTTAGCTCCCCTTTCAAGTAAAGACTTGCCATCCAGCAAAGGTGGATGCAGTTGCTTCATCGGGGCCCACCTTAGGGTTCAAGACAAGCTCATGCTATTCTTAAGGAAGGAAGGGCTGGTAGCCAATGGTTTCACTAAGCTGTGGAAATTGGAGGGCACATTTTTCTCTGGGTAACCTCTTGACAGAGCCCAAGCAAGGCAGTGGTGAAGGACCCGGCTGCTCCTGTTCAACGCAGGGCTCCTCAATGAGGGGTCCTCCCCCCGGGTCCCAGTCTCACCGGCAGCCTGACAAGCTCAGGACCGCAGTCTGATAGCTCTCCCGCCTCCTCCTCCCCTTCCTCTCAGAGGTGTCACATCCCCACAAAACCTTTGACAGTCCTGTCTGTGTCTACTTCCCGAGATGAAACGGGAGAATACAGGACCTTTTCTGTTTTAAAATAAAGGCTCTGACGCAGGAAGTAGCTTCTATGGAAGGATGGAAAAGAGAATGAGGCCCAGTCTTTTGAGGGAGGGGCCCGGTGGGAGGTCTTAAAGGCTTTGCGAGCCAGTTTAGAATCCCATTCCAAAGGACGCAGTAGGGGAGTGCTAGGAGCCGGTTTTTCAAAGCTTATTTTGGGGGGTGAATTGAGAGTGGTTGGAGGCTCACTGTACAGAGAAGAATGCCAGTTGGGAGGCTTTGGTGACCGTCTGGTCAGACAACAGTTCAGACCTGATGGGAAGTGAAACCGGTGGGACGCGATCGGATCTGTGAAATATTTTGGCGATATCGTTGAAATGACTTGCTTATGGTTTAGGTAAAGGGTAAGAGTGGAGTGTAGATTCTGGGCCGGAGCCACTTATGAGTGGTAAAGCCATTGACTGGTAATACCAAGACTTGGGGAGAAATAGGGTTTAAATATACTAAGATTAAAACACCACTAAAGGCCGGCTCACGGCCGAGGTCAGGGGAGGAGATACTCAGGAGTTACCAGTATCTACCATATTTATTTAATGCTGTAGGATTTGACGGAGTCACCAAGGGAGAGTGCAGCTTGGAAAGAAGGCGAGAGCCCCGCCAAGTCACACCATCCCCCTTCTTCGACACCTCCGTGATTTCCCAGCACTACAAAACCAAACCCGTTTTCAGAACGACATCCCAGGCAGGCCCTCTCCATCCCTGCTCCAGAGATCATTCCAGCCTCACGCCCACTGTGTTTTACTAGAAACTTCTTTTAGCTACTTGGCTTCCTCTAACCACTCTGCCTCTGTGCTGTAGCTCATGCCATTCCCTCCTCCTGGAACAACTTTCTTCGGCCAGCTGCCTGTGCTTGGTGAAACCCTCCTCACTGTAAAGTCTTAGCTCAGGCTCCCCAGAGCCACGGCCTCCCCCATCGACCGGCAGAGGCAGCGCCGTCTTCCTGTGAGAGCTGTACCACGCAGCTGTGGAAGCGGCTCACCCAGGGAGCCGGGAGGACAGCCCCTGGCGGGGCAGTGCCCCGAGGATTCTCCCTGGACTGGGCCCCTTTCTCCTCTGCTTTCCACGCCACGGGGCTTCCAGCCTTCTTGGTGCTTCAAAGGTTACAAGAGCACTGCCCCACCTCCAACCTCCCACATTCTGGGGAGAAAAGGGGGCAGGAAGCCACAGTGGAGCAGGGGCACCCACCGGAGGAAAGCGACTTTCCCGGGCGAGGTCTAGTGTCCAGTTTGGGTGCGTCGCTGGCCTGAACCTGTTCCGGGTGCTCTGCTGGCACAGAAAACACATCGGGTGGGGCCCCAGCCCAGCAGCGTTGGTCTGGAATGTTCTTCCTTTTCCTCTTCTCTGACACTGGTAGGTTTTACTGGGTAAGTCACTGTCTGTGTGTCTTTCCACGAGGTGTGAAGTGCCTTAATGATATCTCATCCCGTATCCCAACCTAGGCCACGAGAAGTATTTAACGAAGAGGGTTTTTTTCATTGCTGATCTAATGACTACGGACTGCTCCTGTCCTGGTTCTGTGAATCAAGGCCGGCCTGTGTGGAAGGCAGTTCAAGCAACCACACACTGAACGAGGCTGCATCACAGTAAGTGAGCCACTTATTCTGGAGAAACAGACCTCAAGAATCAGGACCACGTTTCATTTCAAACCACTCCCCCCCAAAATATCCTAATACCTGCCAAAGGAAATTATCCTGTTGCGCTCATTTCATGACAGAATCTCAGCATATAAATAATTACTCACATTCATTTACTGCACTGAAGGCACATTGAGACAGAACCAGTGAGGCCAGTTCCAAGCTTCGCCTGTCCTCTCAGATGCCCACCAGAGCCGTGTGTGCTGCTGGGGTGAGACAAAGACACAGAAACACCAGCCTTTCCTTCCTTGTCATCGAGACTCTGCAAACATGCATACTCTTCCTCACACCAGAAGCCATGGTTTCAGTCAACATTCTTCAGAAACAGGGCAGAAATCAGACCAAAGCTGAGGCTGCTTCCAATGGAGAGACCAAATGGGCTTGTTTCTCTCCCAACTTCTAGAAAAAAATCAAGTGTAAATCGCTCAGGCCTGGGGCTTCTGTCAGTGACTGCCTAGCACTGCTAGGCTCCGGGTATAAGGACGGGTCACAAATCTGCCCTCACTTAGGTTTTAAATACTGTATGATGTTAACAGTGGCTGGCCCCACCCAGGGGACTAGAGCAACAGAACTAAAGATGCCACGTGGTTCAGGAATGAGTCTACACTCTGGTTTCCCAGTACTCCACCCATGCCTGGGAAAAGTTCCTGCACCTTTCCAAGTGACGTCATTTAAACTATTGGTCAATACTTATTTGTATTTTATTTGGAAGTCTGTAAGGGCATTAGAGTTGTTTTCCCATACGTCCTCTTAGACGGTGCCACCCTCAGCGCCTGTAATGGGCTGGCTCCCCTGGGGGCCCACCTCCCACAGACCTTCTGGCCTCCACCGCTGTGCTTTTTACACCTGGCAACACACTGAACGGTCCTGTGCCAGGAGACCTATCTCATTATTCAACAGTGCACGTACAAACGAAAAGAAATAACACTCAAACATTTACTTTACAATTGTTTTTATTCAAAGCAAATTGAAAAACCTAATATATTTTTTCTTTAAAAATTTTTTTTTAAAAAATAGTTTTATCATTAGTTTTGATGTTCCTTATTTTACCTTCAACATATATAATTTGTACATTATGTTAAAGTTTTCTGACAGCCATGTACATTCTAGTATTTTCTAGGTAGCTATAAGATTTCATATTGAAAAGCCAACACCACTTTTCTAAAATTTAGACGAAAAAATCCTTGTTCCCAATGTAGTAGACAATTGCTCCAAGAAAGTAAAAACGGCCCTTTGCTTTTGGCCAAATGTCAGGTCTGGATTCCTGGTTGCGTGAAAAGAAGGGTTTTGTCTTCTTCAGAGAACAGAAGGAGCCTTAGTTCTTTAGATTTGTTTTTTGTCCTCAAGACGTGCCTGAAATGGGTCTCTGAAGTTTTACTGTACAAACCTTATAGTGATACGGCCTGTGCAGTCCAACTTCTAGGTGAGATTTTCATACCAGAACAGATGGCGACAGGCAGCTGCCTTGTACATAACCCAAGAACCTCGGAACTGCCACCTGAGGTCCTCCCGATGAAGACGACTTGGGTTTTATTCACCAGTAAATCAAGGACATGGCAATTGGGAGGGAGTCGGGGAAGGGGTCGCCAGCATAGGACATAAAAATAAATACTTTACACACTTTTCCCCATGTCTAAAAAGTGGTAACATTCTAACCAAAGAAGATTAGAAGGTAATTACCTAACTTAATTATATTTATAAAAAATATAAAAACGCACAAACCAAATGATGCAAAAAAGTCTTTTTTAATCTAAAAACTCATTTCCCAGGGCTGATTTGTAGTCAAGCCCTGCCAATTTCTACCAGTTTATGAAACTAAAGAGCTATTCTGCATTTTCGTCAAAGTCAGATAATATCCGACAGATTTGATAAACCCTTTCTGAATGAAGACATGATCCTGCAGGCAGTTCAAGGAAAAATAGCCATACCTTTTTCTTTGGTGTAACCAAAAGGATATCCAAAAGTTAGCAAATGTGGACATTTCAAGTGGTAAGAAATTGCCAAATGGAAGTTTAATCTCTGGTATAAAAAAAAAGAAAAAGTTATAAAAGGAAACGCTCCACCCACAGTTCTATAGTGCAAGTTTTCAAATTTAATTCTGAAAAAGAGTTTCATTTACTAAGCAGGAAACAAATCGCAGCAGTGTTCCGCCTTCTCCTCCGCCTTCTCCTCTCCCGCCCCCTCGGAACGCGCACACGTGCAACCCAGGTCTCAGAGGCCCCTCCACTCAAGGAGGACACCCACGTTTCCAAAATTCGGGCTAAAGCTACATGTCTGCGGCTGCACAGCAGCAAGTTCCAGGTCACAGCGTCGCCACATCCACATGTCATTTTTACAAAAAAGAAACAAAGCCTTTTTCCCCGGAAAAAAGTACCTGAACCAGTTAGTCACTCGGCCCTTTCCCAGCCTTCCCGGCTCGCCACGAAAGCACACCGGCGCGTGTGCCCGCGTGTTCTGTGTACTCAGACCAGCAAATCTACCTCCTCTTCTCAGAAGTAATGGTCTCCTTCCTTCTGGAACATACTCATTTCCATAAACAGATGTTTAAAGCCACCACCTCCTAGTCCAGAAGCCTCCATTACTCGACCTAGCTTAACTGTTTTTTTTTCTCTCATATATCTGTTATTTGTGTGTATTTTTTCACAAAAAGTATTCAAAATGCACACACACACACCTGTTCACCGCCCCCCATCCCCCAGCATTTAGGAAAAAAAATCTTCCCCAGGAAGCACTTTCAGAAGTTAATCTCCTACTTGCTCTTAAGCCACAGGGCAAGTGCCAAGTGCGTCCTAAGTAACCCTCACCCATTATTGGCACGGCAGTGGCCGGGCCCATAGCACGAACACGGAGCGGGAGCCTGGGGAAGGCGGTGAAGGGCCCCCTCCCGCCTCCTAGAGCGATGTGTTGTGCACACCCCCCAGCACCTGGGAGACTGTGCGTGTCCCTAACTCTCTTCCCTCAGGGGACCTCCCGCGGTCCCGACGGATGCCTGCCTTCTACACTGGCCGTTCCATCCGCAGGGCCGGAAGCCTGTGCCCGCAGCAAGGTGGTCGGCTCCACGCCGCAGAGCAGGCTGCCCTCGTCCATTTCATCCCCCTCCAGCCCACCCAGCGAACAGCCCCTGGCAGCACCGAGGGCGTGGCGCGCCCTGCTGTCCCCAGGCTCCGAGGCCTCCCCTTCGCCTTCCGAGATGACGGTCATGGGGCTGCTCTGGATGCGGTTCCGCATGCTGTACCTGCTGCTGGCGGCAGAGGGCGGCGTTCGACTGCGGCCGTACCTGGGGCCCGAAAAGGACAGACTCCGAGGCATCAAGCCTTCGTTCTTGGCCCATTCCTCCTGGGCCCTTCTGTTCTTGTTTGGGGAGCAACTGGAAGGGCTGTCAGGAGTGTCTGGAGAAGGCTCCGACCTTGACCTCTGGAATCTAGGGTCTGTGTTCCTAAGCATCTCCGCGGCGGACATGCGGGCACTGGCGTCAGAGCGACTGCCCTTTTTCAGCAGCAGAGCTTTGAAGTTGTCGCTGCTGGTGCTGCTCTTACGGACGCTTCTCTGGATTGATCCCACTTGCTTTGGGGAGGCCAGGCTGGGGGCAGCACTGGTGGGCGTCACTGGTGGGGAGGGAGAGTGGTTTCGGGCGTGGTCATCATCCGAATCTTTGCGGCCAAGGACTTTCCTCTTGGATCTGAGATTTAGTAACATTAAGATAAAGGTTAATTCCCGTGGGCCACTGGATTTCAGCCACAGTCACCCTGCTTATCTTACCACCCACTCAGGTCCCCATGGATTATTTTTACTGTGTGAACCTCTGAACATTCATGCAAAAGCAGGTCATTGGGTTGCCCCGTGTCCCCAGGGCCCACCTGCAATTATTACCCACGGCCACTTTTCTTTAAGTTCTGCCCTGCCCGGATTATTTTGAAACAAATCTCAGATATCATATTAACTTTTCTGGGTAGGACCATCTCTTAAGTTTTTAGTAACTGCCATTTTTATTAACTCTGCGATAGTGGGCGGATCCTGAGTGGACTGCACAGGGCTGGCCCTCCTTCCCTTCTACGTCTCCCCTTCCTTTGGTGCTGGCACTGACAGGCCTGATAGACAAGCCAGAGGCCCTTCTGCTGAGAGGGGCCCCACCCAGGTTCTAGAACAGTTCCACAAGAGTGTGACACAAATCCGGTCTTCCTTGGCTCTTGCTGGGCCGTGGGTCAACTCCCAGCAGTCGCAGTCCCACAGTGCGGAAGACAAAGGTGAGCCCCCCACGCCAGGCCTCGTTCCTGACATGGGAGACCTTCTAGCTGATCATGTAAACGTGAGGGACGTGGCTGAAAGAGGGGGGCCTTCGCGGAAGCGAAATGCTTCCTGGGGGTGTTTCTCGGTCCCAGACTCTGAGAACCTCCCTGTTCTGTGTGGCTGCTGCTGAGCATGAACCAGAGGCAACGAAGCAGATGGGCCGAGTGGCCCCTCGCTGGTCTTCTCATACCGGCCACGCCATGTTCGAGGAACCCCTTGGCGAAGTGCAGGTGGCCTTGCTCTACAAACCCAGGGCATCTGACAACATAAAGCTGTGGCATCTCTCTTTTTCTGCTGTACGATTCTAGAACACGCAGCAGGGAAAGACTGGGAGGATGCTATCTGCATGCACAGCAGAAGTGTCGAGTCTGAGCACTGCCAACTTCGAGCTGAGCGCCCTTGGAGCAGTCTGCATCTCTACCACGGCTTGCATTCCATGCTTGTAAAATGGGGGTGGGGAGATGAGCCTCCCAGGTTTGAGGATTCAGTGTGATAAAGAGCCCCAGGAGCTGCGCCATGTGGACCCAGGTTCCACCCCACTGCTGCGGTGTCCTTGCTCTGTCAGACACAGAGTAGGTGCTGAGTAACCCTTTGAGTGCCATTTAGGAAAATATAATTCCCTCTTCTTGCTACCAGGCCAGGCTTCAGCGCACTTTTTACATGCCTGCACAGCAAGGCGCAGGGAAGGGTGGGCCGTTGATGGCTATCCTGAGCTTGGTGTTCCCAGGGACCTCTCCATGCTGCTGGCCAAAAAGAAGCCACCAAAGCCAAAGACAGAAAGGACAGATCCAATTCAGAGGCTGAAGGGCAGCCAGACCTGATGCAGCAGCAGCCCCTTTGGGAGTACAGAGCCTGGCCTAGGACAGTCTGGTCCCATGGTCCTGCCCAGCTGTCAGTAACTGCGACACTGCAGAGTAGCTAACAAGTGACAGCCAGAAACCAGAGAAATAATAACACTGTCGACTTCTGAGCTGGAAAAGACTCCAGTCGGGTGGGTCTGACCAGAGAAGGAACCTGCGTGGACAGTGAAGTCACACAGCTGAACACGAGAACGAGGACCAAGGGGGCATTTCCCCACTCACGGCACAGGGCCTCACAGTTCATGCAGGCTGCTCATCTTACTTCTGCAGCTCGTTTGTGACATCGTTTCTGTCCGGGTTCTCAATGAGAAGGCATGCTGACGTCACATAGCAAGCCACAGCTCTGCCTGATCAGAGCTACGGCCTTTTATTGTAGATTTAGAATGAGGAGGAGGGGTGGAAATTTATAAAATTATTGTTTCTCAAGAGCAGCTGCCCCTAAAGTGAGAATTAAATCTAAACATTTGAATTCTTTGCATGCATGTCTGTTTGTATGTATGTGCACACCCACACACATGCATCGTGTGTGTGTTTAAAGGAGACGGCCGTAAAAAGGGCTTAAACAGTTAACTCTGGCTTGAAAACTAATTACTTCAATAAATATAAAACTTCACACCTCAACTGGTGTTCTACATTTTCCATCTGGCTTTGATTCTGAAGTGAATTAATTTGCATTATAAAATTTGAAAGCTCTGTTTCAATTTAGATATTCTTTATTTTAAAGTATTAGCTTAGGTACAGAAGGGGATATAAAACAAAGCCCTAGAAATCCTAAACTTCAGGCGGGTTTTTATTATGTCTGCTAATGGTATCAGTGCTAAAATTAACACCCGCACGTGTCCTCGTGCTCTCTCTGCAGCCCGGTCCCGTTCAGCCCGTGCTCCTACAGGGCGCACACAGACAGACGGGCCCATTTCCGCATCTGCTGTAGATGCCATTGTAACGAGGCTCCAGATAGAATTCTCTAGTAGAAGAAACCACAAATTTCTCAGTGCCTTAAGAGGGATGCTAAAATAAACTATAGAAGCGACCTCAGGCACATTTTAGGAAAAGCACATAGTAATTTGGGCCCCAACAGTTGGGTTTCTCGCTGAGACCAAGTGTCCAGAACGCAGGGCGACTGGGCAGCACACCCTCTGTGGCGACTGTCGCGCACGTGTACGTGCCTGCGTGTTTGGCCGTCCAGTGCGTGCCATGCCACGTGGAAGATGGCGAGACTTGAAAGAATTTCCAAACAGTTAAGTACCAATTGCTTTCATTCAATTCGGAAAATATTTATTGAGTGCTTGCCTGTCTACAATGTTTAGACTTAGAAGCAGCTGTATAAACCTGTTGAGATGCCGCTGAAGTTGGTTTCAAAGGATACACAGCATTTTTTGTTTCCCTGTTTGGAGATGTAATTTGATTAAATAGCTACCTGTTCATTCCTAATGAGATCAAGTAAAACAGTCAGGCAATGTTAAAGGGGCAGTGTTTTGCGTCTTTTGGGATATTATACCAATACTAGAGCTAAGAGGTAAGAAATACCATTCTTCACAAACACCTTAACCTGCCAGCTTGGTTTTTTCCTCCCAAGACACATTTGTAGGTTGTGTGAGGAATTCCAGGAGGGGAGAGAGCATGCTTTTCATGTCACGTAATGAACAGTTTTTGTTATATTCCAAAAATTCAGAAAACATTCATGACACAAGGTTATTTACACAATCAAATGATTTTACAGGGTTTTTTGTCTCAGAAGGGGAGAAGGGGAACTTTGATTCAGGGCAATAGAAGACTTTGGAAGCATAAGGACATCTGTAAGAATTATCTGACAATACTGTGCTAAAGACGTCCAGAAGGAAGCGAAGGTTTGTATAGAAAGCACTTTCACACAGTCTGATCAGTTCTCACAATGTCACTGTTGTGAGCATACCAGAAAAATTCACAATCAGAAAAAATGAGACAATAAATGAAATTTTAGCGTTAAATCCTATTCCCTCAAGGTGACCACAAGTAAAAAGTGCATCAGTTCACTGGCAGTTACTCTGAAATTTTTTTACTCTTTGTTGCTGTACACCAATAACCTCTGCGGCCACTAGATGGCACTAGCAGCATACAGTAATAAGCCAATTTAACTCCTTTCGTTCCTGCTTCAAAAAGATTTATTGAAAACACTGAAGTAGCCAAAGAAATTGCACTATAGAACCCTGGTTTTTCTGTAAAGTGATAATACACCTTTCGGAAAAGTCCTCTCCTGTAGAGCTTGTCTGCCGCCACAGATCACAGCATCCTCGCCCTGGACCAGGGCTGCTCTGACTTCAAACCCCCTGTTACAGCATGGACACATGGCATCTCTCCCCAGCCAGAGCGGGGCCAACCAGGAGGCATCGCACGGAGCCTCTGCTCCCCACATCCTCATAAAAATCAGTGGAACAAAGTAAAACAGAAATTGGGAATCAGAGGAAATAAGAATATAGGAACCCTCTAAAACAGATCGATAATCAAGTTCATGAACCCTAACTGGGTACCAAAGAAACCTCAAGAGAGAAAAAAAAATTGAGGAACCACTTGGAAAGGGGGACACATACAGCAGATGAAAACATGAGTTCTAGATACCTGTGAATAGCGGCGAAGAGGTCTTCCGTGGTCCGGGGTCTGCTGGGGGTCATCGCCTCATCACTCCCTTCTTCCTTAAGGACGTCCTCTGAGGAGGAGAGGGCTGAGTCGGTCTCGGGAGCCCCAGCTACGGAGAATTGCAAGCAAGCAAACACACGATTTCACAAGCGACTTGAATTTCAGCCTTTAGCCCAGCTCCCAAGTCCTTGCTGTCATCCTGACAACGTGACACCCACAGGGACAGGTGGTGGGGTCTGTAGTTTGATATTTTATGCAGATGGGGGAGCATGATAGCCAAAGCTCATTCTTTTCTGTTCAGGTCTGGAACTCCTAAGGATGCCCTTAAATTGTGTTCTAACATTTGTCTGCAGGTCTCCAGAAGGGAGGTTATTCATGGCTACTCAACACCCAGCCTGCTGCAGACCCCACCCCCACCCCTCTATTTTCTACCCTCCTATAAGCTCTACCCTTAGATCTAGATTTTAAAAATTTTCACAAAATGCTAAGTTGGTAGCCTAGGAGGCAGCGCAGGAAACCCACAGTCTGCTGGCTTTCCCGTGAACGCGCACCTGCCCTGTTTGCCTCAGCTGCATAGATGGGGTTGTAGGGGAACAAGAGAGCAAGCCAGACTCACGCCCTGGGTCCTGCAGAGTCCGACAGCTCTCCACACTGTCCCCACTGGGCTCAGTGCCTGGCTCCTCCTGCTCGGGGGCTGGCGAGGCGTCAGGCTGCACCATGGGGACATTGGCATCCACTCTGCCTGGGGACGTGGTTCCTGCAGCTCCTCCCTCAAGAACCGAGCTGCCGGATTCGGTCTCATCAGAACCGGCCGCGGCTGCACAACTCTCTCTGGCCTCTCCCTTTGTGGGGCTGGGCGCTGCTTTGCTCACGTTCTCTGCTGGCTCCGCTGTGAATTCTCTCTGCGGAGGTGGCACCACCAGGAACAGTTTGGGCTTCTTGGAAATGGGGGGCGGCTTCCTGCTGGGTGAAGGTCCAGGGGCCATCTGCTGTGGGGAGGGCCCGGGGGCAGCTTTGGCCGCCCTAGGGCTGCCTGGGCTGCAGCCATGCTCTGCCGCTCTGTCCTGGTGACCCTGACTCATGGTCTTGGCGGGAGTCGGCAGCAAGCTTGTTACGGAGGCAGACTGGCTTTCACTCTCCATTTCATTTATGCTATTTCGGGATTTCAGGAGAGCAGATGGCTTTAAATGATACTGGGGCACCACTGGAGTTCGTTTTTCCTGAGACGCTTGTTCATGAAACAGTGCTCCCTCGGTTCCCAAGTTCTTCTTCACCGGCCTCAACTGCACCATCTGCAATGCTTCTGTGGTTATCAGGGGCCCGGGGGGTCTGCTGCCCTGCTTGGTCCCAGGCTGTCTCAAGGCCTCCTGGGAGGAGTCTGGTTGGCTAGACTTTTTGAAAGAAGGCCTAGCATCTTTCATCAGGCTAGGGTCAAGGGGAGGGGCAGGTGGGGGCACCAAGGAGGGTAAAGACTGTGGAGGGGACAGCACAGGGGCATGGCCCAGAGGGGGGCTACAGGCTGTGGGGGGAGGAGAAAAGCATGCGTCAGTAGGACAGAAAGGAATAAGAACTTCTGGTGGTGGAGGGGGGAAAAGGGGAGACTGAGGTAGAGGAGAGCCCTCGGGGGAATCTGCTAAAGGTGGCGGAGGAGGGAGAGAAGGAGACGTGTTGGTAGGAGACGGAAGAGATGGGAGAGGAGGAATGGCAGGGAGAGAGGCTGGCACCGAGTCCAGCTTCTTCACGGTTCCACTTCCTTCCGTGGACGTATTGGAAGAAAGGGATGTGGACGACGAGGAGATGGATACAGAAGACACCAGGGAGGACTTCCTTTCTGGTACCTTGGGCTTGGTCTTTCCCTTCCCATTGGCTGGTGACATTGATTTCAAAAACACAGGCACAGGGGTGAGAGTTGTGGGTGTATTTGACTGGCTAGAATACCCACTGGATGGAGAAGTGACTCGATGTGACTTCTCCGGCGATATGATCTTTGGTTTGACTGAGCCTCCGGGCCCTGGGGGCACGGTGGCCCTGGAGCCCTCTTGGACGTGGCGGACTGGCCCGTTGCCAGCTGGTGCCCCACTGCAGGCGGACCAGCCCCCGCTGGGGTTCCCAGGGTCTTCTTGCAGGCCCGTGCAGTCAATGTAGTAACCCCAAGGGTCCGTGTACTCGGACTTGACACTGCTTGTGTCACTCGGTGACGGGGTGACCCCGCACAGGGAGTAGACGTTGGGCGTGGTGGCAGAAGTCATGCTGCTGCCCGCACTCACTGTGCTCTGGCTGCGGGAGCGGGGCAGCCAGGGCTCCTCCAGGTCACTGCAGGGGCTCTGGGAGGGTGACAGCCCACCCTTGCCTGGGAGGTTCAGCTGCAGCGAGTGCTGGAGTGAGGCAATCAGGCTCTCGTTGAGCACCTGCCCGTTGGTCTGGGCGTTCTTCTTGGGGATCCTGCGCAGGGAGTCCGTCCGAGAGGGCGGCAGCGGAGGCTTCTTTGCTTTCTTCAAAGAGATGTTTCGAGAAAGAGATCTGTCATGGCAATTTGCCCGGTCCCCTTGGTTCTTCTGAGTTCCTCCTTCAAAAACATTGACCACGCTGTGCCTGGGGTTCCCGAAGCCATTGCTGCCGCCGCCCAGACTCCCGGCCCCATGCGCGGCACCACTGTGCACAGACGTGTAGTAGCCATCGTGGTCCTCCGAGTACAGGGACCTGGCGTCGTCTCTGTTGGACGTCTGGTCCAAACTGCAGCTGCTCATGTTACTCACAGGAGTGCAGTCACCCGGAGTGGCCAGGTGAGGCTTCAGCGGGGAGGCCCGCCCACTCCCCGAGGCGCTGTCTTCCCAGGGCTCCGCGCCGCGCCCCCTGCCTCCTGAATAACTGGACTCGCTCTTGCCGTCCACATCCTGGGGCGGTGCTGGGAAGCTCAGGTTCTTCCTACAGTTATAGGCCATGGCTTGGGGCCCATTCTCCTGATTCGCTGGGGTGTTCAGAGAGACTGCAGAATCACAGAGGGACAACGGTGTGGTTCTCCTGGGGGAATGGGGACCCAGGGCCTGTGAAACAATGGCGGAGTGACCTTCATTCCAGTGGCCACTGGGAGACCGCCAGTCATCTGAACCGGAGTGCCTCGGGAGGAGGCGGTCCCTGGATTTCATCTTCGTGTATGACGGGGAGCCGCTCATTTTGCCGTCCAGCTGCCCCGAACTCTGAGCGGTGTGGATAACGATCACCTCCGACGAGGAGGAGAGGGTGGCATTGGGGATGACGCTGGTGGAGCAGGTCCCATGAGGGGACACCACACAGGCTGGGCCTGTCCTGCTTTCACTCTCGAAGTGTCTCAGCTCCTGGGACTTGGGCCTCAAAAGGGTTCCAGTCCTAGAGGCACCTGCTGACCATCCTAGGTTTTCATCTGCTTGGAGGTTAGCCCTCCGGTAGGGGAAAATGCCGTCCAGGCCGTCTGCGAACTGGGGCTCCAGGGACTGCAGGGGGGCCCTGGCGCCGGAGCGCGGGAGGCTGTGGAAGCCGGCGTCGCTGCCGAGGCGGGGGGAGCACACGATGCCTGCAGGATCGCTCAGCACGGACATGTTCCCCGAGGAGCCCGAGAGGTGGCTCATCTGCGCAGCAATGCCTTGGCCCCTCTGGGCCCTGATTCTCCTCATCGAAGGTGGCACCACTCTGACTTCCTCGGTCTGACAGCTGCAGTCCCTGGTTTCGGAGCGCTGCCCGGCAGACCGGTGGCTGTCGAGTCTTCCTAGTGTCGAGTAGTGGTCTGGAGTGTACACTGAGTGACCACCACCATCATCCTGGCCAGTGCCCGAGGCTGGAGATAAAGCAGAAAGAGGCCTGTTACCTAGAAATCAGTACCTTAGTCGATCACCTGTGCCCTTACCTCCTCCTGGCTCTGCTGGGCTTAAAATCAAATCAAAACAAAAAACACTTCTCTATTTGAACTAGTTTTTTTCCTCCTATAGGCACCTAAGTAAGAGTTTAAATAGCTACCTATGGCCCCTAAAGTAAAAACCCTTATTATGAATTTTATGTACTTCTCTTAACTGGTCTTCTAATCCTCCTATAGATTCAGTGCTGTGTATGAAATTCTCAGGCACTCCCTCTGAGATCAGGCCGAGTGCTCTGTGGAAGGTTTACTTTCATGTAACCTCCTTTTGGTAAAGATTTCCAGGTGGCCTGTCACCTACCAGGTGCCTGCAGAGAGAATCTGTCAAGCAGGGACGGTCTTTCCCAAAGACAGATGAATATAAGTAGTTCAATAACAGGGCCACAGAGATATCATTTATGAAGGGTGTTGGTATGACACAGTGCTCATTACATTAATTTCTATGTCAGAAGGAAATCCTAAGAAAAGTGATTTACAGGCCCATCTGTGTCTCAAACATTTCATTATCCATCTCAAGCCATCGTCATCTGTCTGTCAGTGACATTCAAACTTCAACAGCAATCTGTCGTGTTCTGGTAGAGAAAAGCAGCGGGGACTGATCCAGTGAACGTTTTCTCAAATTAGGGTAATCCACTTCTTAGAGCTTTACAGCTGAACCGAGAATACTATGTTTAAAACAGAATGAAGCACAAGGAAAGCCAAACAGTGAAGGCAGTTGGTAAGAAAACACCTTAAGTGTCGACAGCAGCTTTCAAGCTCACCTGAGAAAGAACAGAAGCTTTAAACAAAATCATGACAGCAAGGACCTCCTCGAAATGTACAGAGGAAAAAAACAGTTCATGCGTAGCAATCATCAGGACAAATTAAGTCTTGAAAACTAGTAGTGAAACCACAGCACGAGCGTGGCTGGGCGACCCACCAGCATCCCTGGGCACCTGCCCAGGACCCTGGGGCACTGGTGGGGGGCGGGTTCTAGAGAACTCCCTCCACACCCCACGCAATTCCGGGCTGGATCTAAAGCCTCGTGCTCATCCAAATAGCGAAAATGTTTAGGGTATAAACCGCAAGGAGATGTCACCCTGGGGCGGGGGCCCCCCAGCGAGCCCTTTCCTTCACTGTGCTTGCATCCCTCTCCAACAAAACCTATTTCCTCCCCCTTCCCCTCAGCCAAGGAGCCACTCACTAAAGACACCGCCCCTACACACACATACACACGAATTCTCCCTCAGAGAGAGGGGTGGTAGGCAAAAGCAAGATAGAAGAAAAATCCACTCTGAGGAAGGAAAACACAAGACGTACACATCTTGCCGTTTGGCAGTTTAGAGGGCGGGAGGCTGACTTTGTGGTTGTGTCAGTTTGTACCACTTTGATTCCAAACATTCAAGACGCATCATTCCACTCAACACTGGGTTTTATCTTTTTCTTTCAGAATTGTGGTACTTCTTGCACAGGGCCCATGGTAGATTTCTAACTGTCTCTGAGGGCTGTAAACAATGTCCTGGTTCTTACAGGTAACAATTTTGAATGTGGAACCATCCCGGGCTTCTGAAAATGGGAATATAGCCGTTTTCCCACCATCTACAGACCAGCACAAATTTCTTATTAAAATACCAGTATTTTTTCTAAAGACTTTTTAAAAAATTGGTAATGTTTTATGGTTTTTAAAAAGATTTTATTTATTTATTTGTTTTTAGAGGGGGGAGAAACATCAATGTGTGGTTGCCTCCTGCACGCCCCCTACTGGGGGCCTGGCCCGAAACCCAGGCATGTGCCCTGACGGTGAATTGAAACAGCTGCCCTCTGGTTCACAAGCTGGCGCTCAGTCCACTGAGCCACACCACCCAGGGCTAAAAACCTTTAAAAATGGGGAAACTCATATGTTTAACACAGGGACCACCAAAATTCTATTCCCAAAACAGATCCTCCAATGTTTTCACAGTACAAAAAGTGTCACAATATTACAGATACTATATTGATTAGAATTGAAGAACAAAAACAGACTATAAAAAGAGCACTATATAAACAAATATAAACCACCCAGACGCTGCTAAAAATTTTGATGGTATTTATCTGACTTTAAAATCTAATGTAAAGAAATAATTATACATATATTTCTTTCACAAGGGATTTTCAGTTTTTAAAGAACACATAATCAAAGATAGAAATCGAGCCCTGGCCGAGTGGCTCGGTTGGAGCATCATCCCAAAACTAAAAGGCTGCAGGTTCGATCCCAGGTCAGGGCACATACATACTATATTTTTGGACCATAAGACACACCTAGGTTTTAGAAGAGGAAAATAGGAAAAAAAATTTTTGAAGTAAAAAATGTGGTAAAATATTTAATAACATAAATAACATAATATCTCACCAATGTAAATGTATACAGAACTCAACAGCAGCATTAACAACCATTATTCCTCCCAAATTGGGGGGAGGGTGCATCTTATAGTCCAAAAAATACAGTAGGTTGTGGGTTCAATCCCCAGTCAGAGCACTTACAGGAGGCACTCAATCAATGTTTTTTCTATCTCTCAAATTAATAAATATATCCTCAGGTAAGGATTTTTTAAAAATACGCACAAAAAATAGATAGAAATCTACAAGTTAATTTATTTAAGGTTTATATAGGATTTTCTAAAAGTCTTAACAATACTTGTAACTAATATATTATTGTATATCAATTATAATTAAAAAATAAATTTAAAAAAGTAATTCAGGTCTTTGTACAAACTATCAAAATTATTCAGAAGGGGGTTCCTTTAAATGAGGCTTTTCTGCTTGGGACACACACACACCGAGGAAAGTTCCGGATGCAGCCACATGTAATTACACCAGTGGAATAACCCATCTGAGTCTAAAAAAGGGAACTGCACACTAGGGCAGCAGGGTGTTCAAATAGGTTCCTATGTATGCTAAAGATAACAGGATTAAAAACAAAAATCTTGTCTGACTCATTTCAATGGAGGGAAACAAGTTATCAGCCATCAAATATACTTCGGAAGTAAACAGAAAATATCCTAACCTTGATTTTAAAGTGTTGTATGTTAGCTAGTCTCTCTAGAGTCTACGATTGAGGGGTTTTGAAGTAAAAGCTGCATATAATTAAGCATAATATAACACTAATTCTGGAAACACATCTGGTTAGATTTTTCAAAGCCCAAAGCCCTAGCAATGTGGACAGTGTTAGTGGGCAGGGCGCATCCAGAGAATGTTTTTTCCTTTAGCTAATCATTTCCTCTTTAAAATCTAATTTATTTGACTCAGCCATAAAACCCTATGCTTTGTATCTAGAGAAGACTTCTTTTTGCAGATAATATGACACATTTTTATTTTTGGCCCTCGATTTTCAGGTAGCACAAAGTTTCCAGACTACATAACTTACAAGCACAAAATACTGGGAGAAAAGTCAACCTGAAGTCCTAAAATGAATGAAGGAAAATGATGATCAATTTTTTTCCCCTAAATGTTTCAGTATTTTAATGTTATTTTCCCTTATTCTCTCCAACAATCCTTCCAACTAGTCTATCCATAGAACTAGAGTGGCTATTGAACTGTCCTTTCTTCCCCAGCAGAGCTGGGGCTTTGACGCCGCTGTCTCAGCTGACCTCCAGCTACAACCCACGCCCTGTCACTACACAATGACATCAACTGCCTCACATCTGGCAATGATCACAATGCAGATGATATGGGAAAAGCTCTTTTCTTTCCTCAAGCCTTAGTAGTGGTTCCATGTCACGTGCCAAGGAGAAATAAACATGAGCTTAGGGGCTCAAACACTCATTAAAAAAACATTAAAATTACAGGAGATATGATTTACCAGGCTGGACAGATCATTCCAGAAAAGTCAAGGAGGCAGCTGAGTGATTGGCTCTCTACTGCCTGGCTCTGTGGTAAGTGATAAAAGTTCAGAATTCAGAGGTTCTAGAACTCCTATTATACACATATGTAGATAATTCATGTTGAATACTTATGTGTATCTTTATCAGGCCAAACAATTCTTACACTGTTTGCATAAAGCCATCCCAAACCTACCTATTTTGGTCAGAAAGCCACTTAAAGTGCAGCTTACTTTGAAACATCAACCTTGCTGTCTGACAAAGGGCCTATCTTTAAAGTCACTCCTTTTGATTAAGGCCATCTCCTAAAAGATCAGTTCAAATACAAATGTCACCTGAGTGCCAGAAGAGACTAGCCCATTAAGCATCTATTGAACATACATGTTCATATTAGTTCCTCAAATTAGTCAGCTGTTGCCTAAAGGAGGGGGGGAAAGGGTCTGAAAGAATGGGATCCAGGACTGGCCCACTACAAAAGCAACAGGTGGGGGCATGAACAAAGGACAGGCTTCCCAAATCCTGTGGGTGGAATCTTGCCTGTGTTTGTGATGAGCCCTTCTATTGGGGGATAAGACGAGCACCTGCATGCCATCTGGGTCACTGGAGCTACCTAGAGCAGAAGCAGAGCATTGCTCCTCTGGTCTCACGTCGATACAGTTGAGAAGGCAGAGCATATGCACTGCAGAACTGAATGGCAGTTAGAGAGGAAACGCAAGGTAAAAAAGAGTGAGCAGAGGTGTTGAAAAAACACACATAGGAACGGTGTCTGCAGCACCTGGAAGCTGAAATGTGACCTCAAAGTGCTGTAATAGACTTATCACTATTGCTAGGATAAACTCATTTTAACTAAAAGACTAACAGATAAGTTCAGAAATAAGGATTCTGAGTTTCTAGAGTATAACCTTTAACAGTAAATGAAAGTATAAACATCAGGTGAAAGTAAATACTGTCAAAGAAGTCCATGGGTTAGCTGAAGAGAAAGACACATTTCAAGAAAGGGAGTATTAAGTTTCCTCCAATAATTATAATGGCAGCATTATGTTCACAGTAGTCCCAGACACCAAGTGCTTCACCTGTATTAGTTCATTAAATGCGAAACAGCCCTCCTGTAAACGAGGAAGTGGACTTGGGTGAAGTAACCAGCTGGCGGTCACCCAGAAAGTTAGTGGCAGAGCTAAGATGTGAATCCAAGCTGCCTGGCCCCAGAGCCCGGCTCCTGACCCGGTTTGCTATGCTGCCTCTGCAGACATTGCTGATGGACCCATTAAAACCCAGAGGGAGGGAGTGAGGGCATGAAGAGGAGAATGAAGAGATTATTCACAGTTTATATAAAGATAAGCAGAAACAAATGGGTATGTGAGTAATGAAGCAAACAACCCTTTCTCCTAACCAAAAAAAAAAAAAAAATCTTTTTTTGTTTTCTGTTTTTATCACAGGTTGAAAACTACTAATTCAAAAAGCTCTGAAGTTGTTGCACTGGAAGTACATAAATGCACTATCCAACATAAAGACTATTTTCTATCAGGCTTGTATTTTACTAATTATACCAGACTTTTTGATGGCAAAGGCCATCGATATTGTCAACATAACTAATGAAGTCCATAACCATAACCTGAAGCTCCAGAATAAGTTTTCAGTTTTACGAAAACTTAAAATCTAACTGAAAAGTCAATTTAATTGTGGAAATTCCCCACGGTTCAAAGTACATAGTGATAATGACCTAACTGTGAATTTCTATCGTCCCACTTAGTAGTTTTCACAGAAACTTCTCCTCTTATCTTCTCACCAAAATTTAATGCATCATCTGCTTGGAGTATTAAGATTCACGCCCAGTGCCTCATTCAGAAAGGAAGGTAGGCCTCGGGGGCACCAAATGGCTATCAGAATGTATCGACTGCATAGGCACCACGGATGAGGTTAGCACAGGAATGCTGAACGGCAACGAGGGGCAAAACAGAATACAGTTCTGATGAGCCGTACCTAACTCCTTCTGTATGTTGTCAGGGACTCCTGTAATAGTCTTTCTCCTTCTGACTTTCTTCGGTCGTCTTACCAGAGTGTCTGTGTAAATGAGAGACCGCCGCAGGCTGGCCTGGCGATCGAAATTCTCCCCTAATGTAGAGCAGTAGAACAAGCAAAGCCATGTTATTTTCAAGCAAGCTGACACCATGCACTTTCTTCCAGAAGCTGGTCGTAAAATGATAAGAAGGTATTAATAATGATGTTAGCCAGTCATATGATGATGAATGAATGCTTAAGGGCAAAAAGGGAAGGAAAGCGCATTATCGTCATAAGGCTCTTTTCCAATTTCTGTGTGTGTGTCCTTCCAAAGGAAGCACCTGGATCTCATTTTCAAATGAGCTGGAGTGGAAAATGCAAATTTGCTCATAACACACCAGAAGAGTGATTCTGCATTATTTTAAAAATGAGTCATTTGGAAGCATTTCGAGTAGGTCCTCTGGTCACCAAAATCATTCTTGACATCAGTGTGCGTGTGGGGGGGAGGGGAGGCGATAAATGTCTCTTGGTCATCTGGTCAGCACCAGAGGCCACTGAAATGTCTTGTTCTACAGGATGGAACAAGTGACCAAGAAGTTTTAGATGAAGAGCTTTTTCTTCCGATCAAGGAGGCCAACGATTTGCACAGACAGTGGAAATTGCTGTGGTGTGAGATTAAAGAGCCTTATGATGATAAAGTACTTTCATCACAATGAGACCCGGGAGCATGGCTGCTGTTAAAGCTCAACTGCTTCTTTATTTCATAACCACTTGGAAAAGTTGATCCGGATGCAGGCCCTTCAGGTCAAGCTGCAATCAAGCCCCAAAGGGCAGACCCAGAGGACTTTTTTTCATTCTAGCGTATCAGCTTGTGTGATTGGCATACAATGAAAAAATGCTGAAAAATAAAATATCAGCTTTTGATTGATCTGCTTTAAATTGCTTGCCAGTTTTATTAAAGAGAGTTTTATAGCACTGACCTTGTCAAATGGTTATCTCCTCAAAGAGAAGTTAAAAATACATATATACACACAAATTATATACTTCTGTCATTCTTACGTTGTAAGGAAAGGGAAAAAATCACTCTTTTTAGCAATATTGACACACATTTGAAGTGAGTATTTTGTGAACAATATACTTTCTATTTTAATAGCAATTAGTTGTAAACAGAACCTTACCTAATCAAAACAGGATAAAAGATCTGAATGATCAAAATACATTTCACAAACTTAAATGCTCACAACTTGAAAATGCTTGCAACCTTGTTCCCAATGGAAGAAAACAGACATAATGGAGTGAGACCCTGAACCCCTAATGGCACCCTCCCTGTAATGAAGGGGCCACCACGTGCAATCGTATCATCTGTGCACGGTGTTTGTAGGCAGCAGGCCCCGACTTCAGTGGTCCATGAGTCCCCTGAAGCAGGAGGAAAAAGTCTCCTTGTATCAAGGCACTAAGAGTGAATGAAACATTAATAGATAGCTGCTTTTAGTCTCCAGTTTTGTTTCCTAAACAAAACAAGATAAACCCTTCAAGCTCCAAGGAAATTAAGAAGCAAACTACAAGGAAGGACATCACCATTAAAGGGGCCAAACTTCCCTACTTGCACTGTGACCTAAAAGGACTGTGTCCCCTGGACTTAGTATCCCCTGTGGCATCCAGCTTGATGCCTGACACAAAGCAGCTATTCAGTAAGTGTCTGTGGAATTGAAAGGAATTGAATCCTTCTCTTTCATTGAAAAATGGCATTAGTCAGTCACGGTTACTACTCAGAAATAAATGTAGCTGGCTCAAACATCAACACAAAGCCAGTTTGTAAAAATTGTTTAAGTATGTTTACCCATGCTTGTCTTCCAGGGGGAAGACTTGTTATCCTACATTGCAGACTGTGGAACATACCATATACATGTTTTATTTTAAACATTTTTTTCTCTCTAACATTTTGAACATGTTGAGTCCCCATAGAACTATGACTGAACAGATTAAATTGATTTTCAAACTTGCAGCTCACAGTGCTAATGTTCTATTTCTATGCCAGGTGGGCTGCACTTTGGATGTGAAATAATATATTTGTCGGCACTTTTCTCTCAGCTGAAACTCACTGAAAATCAAACTAGAGGGGCAATGTTTACCCCAATAAATGAGCATGTAACCATTCCCTGCAGGAGCTACATTTTAATCTTAGAAGTCTTCTAGGTTTTAGGAAATGTCATTTAAATAGCAGGAAGCTGTCTAACCTATGTCAATTCAGCCACTAAATGTGAAAATTTTTAATTTAATGCTTTCTTATACCAGAATATTAGATAAACTACTTCCTTTATGAAATATATGTAAACACATCTGTCCAGAAAATGGATCAATAAATATGTAATTAGGTAGTATATTTAATTTCTACATTTCTAAAAATATTAATCACTCAATTAAACATCAATTGCACTTGGATACAACTCATATTGCTCATTTCTTTATTGTCATTCACCTTTCCTGAGTGGCATTTTGAAGGTCTCCTTTTAAACTTTATGTAATTCATGTTCACTTACTCATCAAACAGGAGAGAACTGAAGCTCAAAAAAGGACACTATGTTTTTGACAATGTACTTCATTGCAAATAATTCATTACTCCTAAAATTCTAGTTACTCTGTTTTAAATTTACTAATCTCATAATAATGCATTTAATCCTAATTACATTAAGGATTGTCACGTTTCATATCACAATGTTCTTGTATTATTCCTGAGGCATTTAATCATATATAATTACATTTCTGCTGCATTTGAGCCGTCAATTAATGTAATACATTTTCTTATAGAAAATATGCACCTATGTATTTCATTTAGCAATAAACATTATACTTTGTTTTGAAACATAGCTACTTATAAAAATAATTTTTAAAAAATCAAGATCTAGGTGAACAAGAATCACATTTGAGAGATCAATGATGGTATCCACAAAGGAAATGGATTAAAATGGCGTGACTGTCCTCTCTTAGGGCATAAGCACAATAAATGTGGAAAAATGCACATGGAATTTAAAGTAATCCATGCACTTATTTATTAAACTTCTCTGGAACTCAAAATAGAGTTCTAAATGTAGTTTTTAAATGTTCTGTAAGGTTTTCAAAACTTCTCCAAAAAGTATCAAAATATCATTAGCCCCTTACAAGTTAACCAAGGCCACAGCAAAACGGTGTCTAGCAGCAGTCACCAGCAGCAGCCTCCGAAGCACAGCAAGTGGGCTGTGGGTGCTCTTTTTTTTAAAGACAAGTAGCTTGTCTTTGCTGTTTTATTTTATTATTTAAATTTTATTTAATCTGTGTTGTCTGTTTTTTTCCATGAACACTCGTCCTTACTGGTCACCTGATCTCTTAGGTTCCAGCCCCGTAGGCCAGGCTTTGTACTGACTGATTACCAATGGGGACGATCAATAATCTGTCTCTTTCACACACACAGTCCAGTGGCTGAAGCTGGTAACTTCTAATACATCTGCTCTGCACTGTGTACCTGTCCCAAAGCACAGAGCTGTCCTATTTGCAGGCTACCACAGTGACAAAACAGGAACATTCTGGTATTTTTTGACAGCCCATCTAAGTTTGTGAAATTCTGCCTTTGAGCCTTGTGTACCTCGTCATTTGTCACCTGTAATTAGCACAGGTGATTACAACTTGAGTATGATATTCGGACAAGACTGGGAGTTTATACCTGGCTTCTAATGTTCGTATTCTAAAATTTTATATTAAGGAGAAATGAACTTTTATTTGAATATTGTAGAATTCAAATTATAGAGATCAAAACATAACTTTACCATCCTATTGAGTTTTCTTAAAAATAAATTTTACAGTTATTATTGTTAATTCACTTGATATTCTTATTTCAAGTATTTTTTTTCTTTTTTCACCTGAGAAAATAAGAAGATAAAATCTGTCATTAAGAAATACCACAAAATTGTTATTTTTTTACTTATATAAATATTACTTAAAATAGCCCTTTAGAAAATCTATCATTAAGAGATATCACAAAATTGTTATTTCTTACTTAAAACAGCCCTTTAGAACATAAACATAATTTTTTTCTTTACCAAGATCACATTTAAAAGATGTCCCCATATAATCAAAATATTTTCAAAAAGCAAAATTGAATAAAAAAGCCACACTTTAGCCCTGGCTGGTGTGGTTCAGTCAACTGGGTGCTGACCTGTGAAGCAAAGGGTCACAGGTTCAATTCCCAGTCAGCTCACGTGCTTGGTTGCAGGCCAGCTCCCCAGTGGGGGGTGTGAGAAGCAACCAAATGGTGATGTTCCTCTCCCTCTCTTTCTCCCTCCTTTCCCCTTTCTCTAAAAATAAATAAATAACTCTTAAAAATAAAAGTAAAAAGACACAATTTAAATGAATGGCTGGCCAGACCACTGAGTTCTTTGACATGAACCTTTGGGGACATAATCTTTTAATTTAAAAACAAGAGCCATTTTACACGTACACGCGCATGTATGTTTAGCATTCTCTTCATTAAACCAAGACCAGACGCCAGACCACAGCCATCGCCTCCACTGTGTAAATGAAACCACCACCAGCGCCACCAGCCACGGTCCCTCTCCCTGAGGACATGCTGACCCTTGTCTGCAGAGCAAAGCGTACCGGTCACGTTAATCGGGACCACGTCAGCCTGCACTGCTTGAGCATGCTGGCGCATCTTCTCCTCCGGCGTCGGCAAGGGAAGCGACTTGGCCCAGTTCGTTTGAGTGTTAAGGTCAGGGAAGTCGCTTGAGGTTGGCGGTTTAGGTCTCCTGATGACAACAAGTCTTTCTTCTTCCGACGAAGAGATGGAACACTGCAGGGGAAATAAGGAAGAAAAAACTATAGTGTGTAAACCACCGACAGAAACACTTAAAAATATAATGTTTTAAAATTTAAACTGATTTAAAGCAAGCTCCCCCCACAAAACAAAACAAAAAGCTAATCACATGAGGGACAGAAGCAGTGGTTTGCACAAAAACTGCCCCTCATCCTGGGCATGACCCGTAATATCCATGACTCGCAGAGTCTGAGTCGCTAAGCCAGGACTGCAAAGGTTTTGCTGACCCACAGAATCTTAAGTCCTTCCTGTTAACTGTGGTCAGAAAGCTTGTGGATTTAGTTTAACATCAGAAGCCCAGAGAAACATCATGGCTGTGACCATCAGTTTCCATTTTTATTAAAATTTAGTTTGGCTCAAAATAATTTCTAGCTTCCATCCCATTTCCTTTAGGTCCTGACGTCAAGGAACATTTCAAAAATGACAGAGCTATTGTTGTTCAACTATGTGTGCTCTTCTCAAGCCATTTATACGGGAAAAATCAGTGTGAAATTATTAAATTATAAGCAGCTGACTAAAGCTCTGCTTTGAGCCTTATCAGAATTCCATGAAAACATTTCTAGCAGTGTCTGTTTTGATACAGATTAACATCCTAACTGGGGACCTTCTTTAATACCTTTCCTCCCATAAGATCTTTAAAAATGTAAGCAAGAGAGTTGTTTTAGAAAGCATCTATTTTTAAAAACCCTCATTTGAGGACATGCTTATTGATTTTAAAGGGACAGACTGGAGAGAGAAAGGGAGAGAGAAAGAACAGGTTGCCTCCTGTATACAACCCAATGAGGGGACCAAACCTGCAACCTAGGCCATGTGCCGGGACTGGGATGCTCCAATCAACTGAGCTACACTGGCCGGGGCACGTTCTGGCAATCATCTTACGATTTCATGACAAGGAAGCCCCAGGAACTCAAAAGAAATGCACCGTGCTCAGGAACAACAACAAAAAGGGCTGACTTTTGTTGGGAAATGGCAGCTTACAACTAGAATAAACATGTAAGAACTGTTAATTACATCGAAGGCATTTAAATGAACTACCACCTATGAAACTAGGCATTTAAAAGAGTTTTGCTTAAGAATAAAATATCAAATGACCTTCCCAGGGGAATACCTGTATAACAGGACCCAGGTCAGTTGAACACTCCCCCATACCCCTCAGAGAGGGAAACTGCTGCCCTGACTTCTAACATCATAGCTTCGTCGGCCTGTACTGGAACTTTCTGTATTGGAGGGAACCATACTGCAGGTCTCTATTGTGACTTTCTTCATTGAACATTACATTTGTGTTGATGCCTTTTTGAGTTTAAAGCAAGTTTCTACGAGGACAGCGGTAGGAACCCAAATCTGCAGAAACGCATTATTTAGAAATCTCAAACACAGAGTAACACTGTTACTGCTATTCACTGCTCCTGAGTTAGTCTTTCTGCAATATATTTATTCATTCTGCAAGTACCAGTACTCCACAGGTCTGAAAAAGGCTACACAAAGAAGATGAAAATGATGTAGTGTGAGGGACGGGGTCCTAGAACAAGAATCCAAAGACCAGAGTCTACTCAACTTTATACCTTATAATCAAGTGACCTTGAGGCAGTTCCTAAGTGTTGAAGTCCCTTGCTGTAAAATGGGAGTATCCTGCCTTCCTTATCCCACTGGGGGTCCCTCTTAGAACCTAAGGAGGTGGAAAGGTCTACAACTGGTAAGTGCCACAGACATAAAGGTGGTGGTCATACAAACGCGACTTTACAAAAACAAAATCATGAATTGACAAGTACCCATTTTTCTTTCATTGAAAAGAGGTTATTAATAATAAAGGCATTGCAGGAGTAAAAATATAATAAATTATGTAACTAGACAGCTCAGTCCTTTGGAGTTTATCTTTTTAATATATAAAACATGTAAAATGATACTCTAGTTTCTTTTTTCACCTAAGGAACATATAAAAAGTTTGTAATTAAACTGACATACTCAATTTGAGCATATGTTACTGACATCTTAATTATGATAATAAATTACACCATATCCATTCACATGTGATCTGATACTGGTCATAACTGCTGCAGATCCTTGAAAGGCAAAGGGATTTCTGAGTCAGCTGCAGCAGCTAAGCCAGGCTGACATAAATCGATTATTTCTGCCCCTTATGCGGTTGTGACACTCATGATAGGTTTGATTTATAATATTGTACAAATTCTCTACTTTTACAGTGCAGATGCGCGCACACACACACACACACATGTAAATTAAACCTAATTTCATTTGAGAATTTCACGACAATTTGTGTAAAGGTCACATGTTTGAAGTTGAATCTTAATCCAGTAAATTAAAAGGTCACTCCAATTTCCTGTTATATTCACAAAGAAATATTTTTTCAGGCAATCATTTCAAAGGCCTTAAGAAGCAAATCCTAACCAAAAAGATTTAAACGAAAGAAAAGTACAGCTTCAGCTGGCAGGAGAGTAAACAGCATGGTGACATCCTGCAGAGAGGGCGCCCGTTTGCGCATGGCGTCTGCCGGGGGAGGCGGAGGAGCTCTGTTCTGTGGTCTGCGTGCGTCTCCGAGGTGCTCGTCAGCCCTAGTAACCTAGTTTCCTTTCAGATGTCAGAATCCATAAGTACGACCATGAAACGGTACTTCAGTTAGCCTCGTTGCCATGGGGTGATCACCAGGGACAGCTCCACTATGACAACTGACAAAGATCACGTAGTTTACAAAGTGTTCCCTTCATCTGCAAGAAAATTTCCCAGGCAGGCAGGGCATGGATAAAGTTATAAGTAAAGTGGCATTTATACAGTGCCACTATCTGCTAAAGGAAATTTAAAAACCAGGATGGTATGATTTCCAGTCCGTGCTGGTATTTATGAACACAGCACAAACACAGGAAAAGCCTCCTGCATCCTGGTGGCAGAACACATCGTGGGTACTCTATGAAGATGGACACTGCGACGCTCTGGATCATTACGTCAGCCTCTTTGCTGGTCTCCATGCTTCTGTCCTTGCTGACTACCTCCCTTACTCCTCCCCCTCCCACAGTGCATTTCTCAAAAGAGCAGCCAGAGAGGTCCTTTAAAAATGTAAGTCAGACCATGTTACTCCTCTTCTCAAACCCTCCAACATTTTTCCTGTGACCTACAAAACCCTACATGATCTGCGAACTGGCCCACTGCTAACAATGACCTCATCTCCAACTATTCTGTCCCTTGTTTATTCTACTCCAGCCATACCACCCTCCATGAAGTTCTTTATACCTACCATGCACTCTACTGCCTCAGGGCCTTTGCACTTGCTTCTCTCACCACCTGAAATTCAATTACACAGCCACACAAGTAGAACCTTCTTATTCTTCAGGTGCTTAGCTTAGTCAACAGTCCCCTTCCTGCTGTCTCAGGTCTTCACCCTACCTAAAATTTTAACTTCTTTCCAAGATTTTATATCCCCCATCTCTGCTTTCTATTTTCTCCTTAGTACGTATTACTATCACACATGTTACTATCACGCACATTTTAGTTGTTTATCTTGTTTGTTTCTCCCATGAGAATGTGAGCTCCAGGAGGCTTAAAATCAATTATATAGAGAGCTATTTCAGAATTTTGGCTAAAAAAGGGGTCACCGTGTAGTGATTTCTACATGCCTTTCCCTGGGTGACAGGCTTTAAAGGAACTGGTAGCTCATTTAATTTTCATAGCATTAGCCTTACTTCATACACAAGAAAACAGATTAAAGTAACTTCACTTTTGGAAACTTCACAAGTGGGCAGCTGGAATTAGAATCCAGACCTGACTCCGAAGTCTCTCTGTTAAATAGTGTAAAATCACACCTTGACATATTTGCAATAAATTGGGTTTTATGATCTAAAAAACCTTCATTTATATCTCTAAATAAGAACAAAACCTGCACCTGAAACTAATATAGTCTTGTACTTATACATCAACCGTAATTGAGAAATAAAAAAGAGAGAGAGAGAGAAAAAACCTCTTGAAAACCAGCGAATGCCAGCAGCACTGTGGTGAGGTGGATGGACGCTCTAATCTGGAGGAAAGACCTCAAGGACCAGCATCCTGTCCCTGTCACTCACTAGTGGCTGTAGGTTCTGAGAAACCCAGGCTCCACTTGTTGACAACAAAGTAACTCCAACGGCGTAGTCATGCTTCATGTTCATGGGAACCCTTGTGATAAGGTAGATATTTTTTTTAAACATTCAGTTTAAGGCTTCCTTGTCTTCAGAACTGAACTGCAGTTTTTAAAGTTGTTATTTGGCCAACAGTGTTCATCAATAGCCCATACTCTGCTCCTAGAAGGAACACAGAGTCACAAACGAAACCTAAGGAACCGCAATGCCTTGTGTCGAATTACTTAATTTAGACAGGGAGATCACCTGCTACACCAGTAGTCCCTTTCCGACGTGGACGTCGCAAGACCTGCCTTTCGGAGACTACCAGGTCCTGTCTGAAAAACAAGTCGGCCTCCCACCAGATGGGCAGTGGGGCCCGAGACACAGTCTCTTTGCCAAAGGGCCAAGTGACCAAAAGGTGGGCTTAACTGTGAAATACAGATTAGTTCAGGCTTAAAAAGATCTGCCAAGCTTTCGAAAATTGGAAAATATAATTACAGACAGCTAAATTTAGAATTCGTTTAGCAAGTATTACATAAAGATGGACATGGACCGGATGAAACTACGTAGAGCACGATTTAAGAAGATGCCAACACACATTCTAGTCCTTTCTGCAGGTCACTCGGTAACACAGTCTTTGGTGATTTTTCTCCCAGAAAAACTCAATCTCTTTTGAGTTGACTCTTGGTTTTCAAGATTCTGGAGAGTTTTATTGGGTGTCAAAACTACTGCAGTCTTCCTTACTGCAGCCCAGCTCTTGGTCCATCCAGCACCTCCACGAGGAAGGCTGGGAGGTGGTTTTCATAGCTACATTATTAAGTAACTAATTGTTCCTTCTCTCCTATTTAGTTTATTACTTTATCACAAAAC